TAGAAAGTAAAATGAAAAAAATTCCGGACGGAAGGACCAGGGTAAACAAGAAAGTAGCGAAAACGAACGCAATCACACGAGAATCGAATAAGAAAAAAAAAATATTTATATATATATATATATATATATAATGATTATTATATTAACAGTTGAAAATTTAACACGTAGTAATTATTGAAATTAGAATTTTCTGCTATAAGCAAATCATTTAGTTTCATTTATCATTTGTTTCGTTCATAATAGTTAATCTCTATATTATTTAATTATTATTACTTATTATTTAATTATGATAATTTTTTTAAACTAATCATATGAATGTGTGTATATATGCGCGCGCGCGTGTGTATAAACATGAAAATAATATAATGTTTTTTCTGAAAATATATTTATATAAATAAGAGAAACGCCATGATATTGACGGTTTTTAATTTCTTTTATAAAATAGACATTCGAAATAGATAGAAATTATCAATGTAAACTAATACAAGAAAAAATGATAAAGAAAATAGAACGAACGATCTTTTATATTTAATAGTGTTTACGTATTTGTATTGTTGCGAAGAAGAAGAAGAAGTATAACGAAAAAAGAGGAAGTATAGGAACGATGGTCAAACTGTTCGTATACATGAATGAGTATTCGAAAGTGTAGTTTGTCCTTCAATCGTGACTCGCCGTATCTGTGACACCAAGAATTGATGTGTCAGCTTCGGTATTTTGAACTAGTGTTGCAGAATATGAGTTCGCAGTTAGCCCCATATATACCTACACATATCAGGGACAAGTTTCACCGGAAGCTGTTTTTCAGATTACGATTCTTTTAAAGAGAAATGCTTATTTGTAATCGTTTTCGTAAATGACTATTAAACTATGAGCATATGCGGTCAAAATAAAATTTAAGTAAAGTAAACAGGCATAATTAAATTTAATTGTAAATATATTAGTTTAAATTCAATTAATTAAGTGGATTTATACAGTCAAATAAATAGTTATAAAAATTTCTTCTATTATTAAATATTTAAATGTTAGTTTTTATTTCATTTAAACAATCTTATTTCGATTTCTATTTTCTTTCTGATTTTTTAATATTATTATTAAAAATAATTCTATTAACTACCTATCATATAAAAAAATATACATGTATTTATTTATTTGTTTTAATGTTAATGTTTTAATGTTTTAATATTAATGTTTTAATGTTTTAATGTTTTAATGTTTTAATGTTAGATGTTTTAATGTTTTAAGGTTTTAATGTTTTAATGTTTTAATGTTTTAATGTTAGATATTACACTTATATTAAATTATTATATCATCCAATATTTACTTTTTAATATAAATTTTTTTTGTGTGTTTCAAATTTAATACGAAAAGAATAGAATAATAACTTATTAAAAATTTTTTTAATTTATGCAAAATATTTTCATTATTTATGTGATGTAAGCGAATTAAAATTTAACGATAAATTTTTCATAAGTTAAATATTTATTAAAAAATAAATCATTTTGTAATAATATGTATATAAAAAAAACTGTATTATTTACGAAATCAGATTATGCGTATAAAAATTTTGCGGTAAGCCATTTCATTAATTCAATTACTTAATTACGAAATTTGATATTCTGCAATGAGAAATAATAAAAACACATATTGTTACATATATACCCGATTATTCCATATGTAAATAATTTACATTCTTTCACATCATGTAAAAATAATTACTTTGCGTAATATTAAAGTTTACAAAATAAAGTCGTTTACAAGTGCGTGAACAAAAAACTCATGATTATTATTCATGTTTTGTGTAAATTGAAGTAGTATTATATTTCGATAAGTTTAATTTAACAACAGATTATTCCACTTCAAATGCATTATTGGTCTTTAGAACTGATTGAATATATTGCTTATATTATGAATTTTTAATTTTGCTACAGTAGGGATCGCAGAGCCCATCGAGGTGAATTTTTTTTTTAACTTACTACACAGTACTACTTACTACATAAGACAATAGTATATTGTTATTCTCTTTTGTTGTAAGACTCAAATATATTCTGATTTATCATTTTTATTCCTTTAATAACTGACATAATTGACGTTGTTGTCGTTCATGCTACCTACCGGTTTTATCATTAAATCCATTTTTTAATATTTCTGAACAAACAATAAACTATAAAATTATATTTGGTAGTAATTTCTCGCAATTTTTACGCAAATATTTGATCTTGTTTGCGCATGCGTTTATAGATGCAATCCGCTTATAATGCAGGCATGGCAAATGTGTTTAGGCACGTGAGGCTGTACATGTACATATAGCAGGTTAAACCAGATATATGTTTGCATTTAACAACGCAATTGCTGATTGTAAATTATAGAAATATTTAATATTCGGGTGTGATACAAGAATGCTTCAATTGTAATATTAAAATTTACATAAATTATATAAATTTTTACATATTATATGCTTAAAAATTATTTGTACAGTGTCCTTTAAAAAACAAAACGATGTCACTGAAAAAAAATTGCTGTTTTGGTTAGATTGTTAAAGCACTGTAAATATTAAGATTCCTAATGTTATATTATGCACTATATATTAGAAATATTTTAGTTGTAATATTCCACAAATATTAATTTACTTGTGCGCTTGTGACAAAGGCTTAAAAATATTTCTACTTAATGTTTCAAGCATATAGAATTTGGATTATATAGTATGTAGTATGTAGTTGTTATCCATTACGAACATTGTCAAAAAATATATTGTTTAAATATGATTCATAGATAATAATACATTTGTTGTAAAGCAATTAAATATAAGTATTTCTGAAATATTAAGAATCCTAAACGAGCTCATTTTATCTTATAGGATAACCAGAGTTTTCTATTTTTTCTAATATTACATTAACTTTAATAAAATAGAACAAGTTATTTGATCATTCGCAGTATTTGGCATGACGCGACTTCATTCTAGTAACGTTTATGAGAATTAGTTATATTATACAGTAAAAATTTTTGTTAAATAATTGTTTTTTATACGTCACTTTGGTGCATGCAAGACGGCTGTTTCGCAATCTACAATTAATGAGAATTTGTCATTTTAAAAAATTGAACAAGTATTTTCAAGTGTGATGTCATTTTTATGATACAAATATTTTCACAAATGTATGAATTAATATTATCACGAAAATGTTGTAAAGCGGTCGTAATAAAGCATAAACAATGTATTTTTCTACATATGTGTAAATTGTAACCACATAGTCGATAAAAATGTGTATGTCAGTCACGTAAACGGTTTATATGATTGCAATGTAAGGCTACTTCTACAAAGTTTTCGTGTCTAAAAAGTTACTAAATAGTCAAATGATACGATGCGAGGACTAACGTCGATTTTAAATAGAAACTCTTTATTATCTCCCAAACGAATAATGCCAATTTGAAAGTATAAATTCACTAATTGTGGAAAATTGTAACTATTTGAAGCTGCAACTATATACGCAGTTCAAATACGTACGCACACGGGCGGTCGCGATGAAACGCCTTCATAGGCGCGCGTGCGTGCGCAAAGCAAGTGCGCATGTGTACGTGCGGTCTCTTGCTCGTGTGGGTACGCGTATAGCCAATGTGCAGTGCAGCAGCTAAGTGGCAACTCGCGCAGCACACGCGCTAGACAGAGACGCAGCCGATAAGTAGTTCGTTTGGAGGCGAAGGAGAAAGAGAGATGTTACACATGACTCGTCTATAGAAAGGGAGGTTATATGTCCGTGCATCCGTTTCGTGCCTGTGTACATTTATGGAGGACGGGCGAGAGCGGGAGTGACAGAGATCGAGAGACCGATAGAGAGTGAGAGCGAGCGAGCGCGAGAGGAGCGAAGAAGTGTGCGCGCGTGTAGTGTCCGTGGTGGTGGCTCTCTACGGTTTGTCTTTCATTGCGCTCTATTCAACCATCCGGTGGCCGCGAGTGTGTGATACGACGGAACGACAGGTCGGTGCAGCGAATACGCGCGCAATGCACCTCGTGTCCAGGACGTTCTGATTGAAGTGCGACAACGAGCACCCGAGGCGGTTCTAGAGCCGGTGCGGCCACATAACATCAGAGAAAAAACCCGCCGCTAAACTAACGAACCTCTTCTGGTTTTCTCCGTTTCTCTCTCCTTCTTTCACTCGCTCTGTCTCAGTCACTTCCTTGTGTCCTTCTTTCACTCGCTCTCGCTCCCTTCCTCTTTCTTTTTATCTTCTCTTTTGCTCTATCTCTTCGTTATTCTCTCCTCTCTCTCTCTCTCTCTCTCTCTCTCTCTCTCTCCCGCAAACGCATACACGCGCGCGTGTGTCACCAGGAAAACGTGAATAGGCAACGTACACCCTTGCACACATTTTTATACGCGGGTGCACATACGTACCTATACTGTCCCGTGCCATGGTGTGTTTCGTCTGATATAAAAATCCAAAGACCACACTTGTACTATATATCGAATTGAACGACAAGATGTTCGTACGTTAATTTGAAGTTCGAGTAAAGAAAGGAAGAAAGAATATATACATACATACTTATGCATGTGTATACGTATAGGCAAGGAAATACATAAGTTAGAATTGTTCGGCAGGCTGTGAAGACGGCAGAGAAAATATACCATATCGATAGAACAAGACAGAAGGAGATATATATATTTTTTTCCTTTCTTATTTCTCATATTCGTTCACTTTTTTTGTCTCTTTTTCTTGCTGCGTGTCCCTTTCCTTTCCAAGGTTCGGTTTTCGTTTATCTGTCTCCGTTTTGCTCCTTCGCCGATTCTTCGACTTCACTTTTTCGTATTTTTCTTTCTGCTTCTCGCCTTAACTGCATTGTTAAACACATATAAAGCATCAAATATACCATTTTGCTCTCTTATCCTGATCCTTGGTAGCCTTGAGTTGTACGAAGCACTTGCAGTGCTCCATATACATTATCATAGTTCACTACATCGATGCATTTATAAGAAAGCTTTCAAACATCTTTCATAGTATGCAATAAGAAGTTTCTGATTTATTGTGCATATTTATTGATATGCTTGTGGCTTGGTGAACTTTCCACTGCATTATTAACAACTTGTGGATCAACCGTATGTGTCATCAGTGTCGATATTATCTGTTCCTGTACTCAGTGTGCGCAGCAGTACTGATGTACCTGGCCAAGCTGCTACCTTCCATCAATCTGTAATAACAATTCTTATTGATCAAGAGTAGAGTGTGTGATGCCCGGCAGTCGCGCCAGCACGGATCCCGAGCACAAATCCCCTAGGGAAAGTGGTGAGGACTCCGAGGATGAGAGCGAAATACTGGAGGAAAGCCCATGTGGGCGATGGCTTAAACGCAGGGAAGAGGTATCTATTTTTAATTTTATTAAATATCTTATTTGTGATAAACAATTTATATAATTAATAATTTATTTGCAGGTATTAAAGCATGGAGTTTGAAATATATTAAAATGTGATTAAACTGTTATGATCAAGCATCTAAAAATTATATAGAATTGAAATGTTTTTTAATATTATTAAAAAAATATTTAGTGATTTTATCATTGAACTGAACAATATTTTTTGCTAAATTAGATCATAATCAATCGATATTTTAGTATTTTTAGTTCATAATTTATAGATGAATATAAATTAAAAAGTGTAGACATCAAGATCTTTATTTTATATTATGTTAAGCTATATTCTTAAAATTAATTGTATAAAAAGAATTTAATCGATTAACTCTAGTTCAGATTCGCTTTTTGACGTAATTCCAACCTTACTTTTATAATATTATATTGTTCAGAAGTTATTTAAAAATATTATAGATTAATATTAAAGAATCTTTTTTACAAGAATAATAAAATATTCGAATATGAAAAATTTTTATACATAAATATAGAAAAGGTTATTTTGGAACAAGAATTATATATAAAATTAACATTGTTTATATATTCAAATTTTAAATAATATATATTTAAAAGTTATGATTTTAATTATAAACACTGGTCACCTTTATAAAACAATATCATAAAATCGTACAAGTTTATTTTTATGGAAAGTTTTTAAATATTCTTTGATATATTTTTTTATAATTTATGAAATATCTTAAACTAAAATATTTGTAATACATTTAAATGTTTTCTTTTTGTTACTAATTTGACAATAGTACATTAAATTAATATTATAATTTTTAAAAAAAATTTGAAACAGCCATAGTTATTCTTAAATTTTGTTATATTAATTCTTTACGTATATTGGATGAAATGGTATGATATATTATTATATAATATTTGAAAATGTAAACATCATTTTATTAATACTTTCTTAATTTGTTCCTTTTCAATTATTGTTATTTATTCAATATTAAACATAATTTCTAATTTTAGATTCAGTATAAAGTAAAAATCGTAAATCATACTATAAATATTTAAAACTGTTACATAAATGTATTTATAATAATTAAACATCATCTAAATAGTTTTGGAATTCTTATTTTTAAATGATTTTTCCATAATTTTTTTGTTAAATTAATGTTAATATTGTGGCATTATGTAAATATAAATGAAAATAATATCCTAAATAATTAATAAAAATAAATGTTTCTCCGTAATATTCTAAAATTGTACTTATAAATTAATCATGAATCAGTAATTGAAGGTATTTAATAATTTAATTCCGGTCTTAAATAAAAATTTAGGTAAAAACAATTAAATATATTTGGCTAAATGTAATATTAAGGTTAGATTATTAGACTAGAAACAATATTTAATATAACACTATTAAAAGTAATGTTTTTGCATCCACCTTATCGCATATATATGTGACTTTATTTAGCATCAAACGTAACTTTTAAAGATAGAATAGATTTATGTGACATTAAGATCTAAAGTATCTTCAAAGTAATCATCTTTTATTCAAATCTTGGCAAGAATAATTTAATCTGTTTCCAAATTTTCAATATTAATAATACAACTATTTTATTTAATTATTGGGCATTGCTTGGTTATTGGAAATTTGAATATATTCATCACTTTTTGCCAATATTTATTTTACTATATTTATTGAAAAATATAATTTTTATTCAATAGATTTCAGATTAAGAAACATATTTATAATCTGTATATTAAATTAAAATATCAACAATAATATCATTTCTTGTAGGTGTACGTAGGTTCCAAATCCACAATAAGTGATGGCACGAATTTCAATACATCTAGAATCAGTGACAATGACATAGCCGAGTCAGAGGTAAATTAAGATACTACTTATATTAAAAATTATTCATTATGAAACAGAGTTCTTATTATCAAAAAACATGTGGAAAATGTAACTAAATAATATCTACAAGATGTGCATGAAATTACATGCTACTTTAATTTAGAAATGGTTTTTCTAATAGACTTCAGAATATAACTGTTTGGTCATTGCAATATATATCTGATAAGATATTCTATGATTCATAATATTAATTTTAATCTTATTTTTTATATAAAGAATTTACAACGATTTTGACAATTTGAAATTTTTAATTTATAATTATATTACATACTTGACAATAAGTATCACCACTAAGTAATGGTTTGTAAGAAATAATTATTAAAAACTTTTGGAATATATATATATATATATATATATTATATTGCACACGCGTATGAGCACATTAATTTTAAATTGAATTATAAAAAAAATTATTTTATTAAGAGAACTTATTAAAAACTAATTATTATTTTGTTAAAGTGCTTACTTAATATTATAAGAGTAATTATCATTTAAAGAAAAAATTATAAGTACAAATAATAATATGTAATAAAATTATAAAGTATTATTTATGGATGTTTAATTTTGAATCCATTTTAACAATAGTAAATATTAAATTTAATTTAGTTTTTATTTTGATTGTATTAGACATAATAATGTAATTATCAATAAAGAGTTAATCTTATTCGACAATAATAATATGTGTTTATGAATATTGTCAGTATATAAAATATTTTATACATTATATCTATTAGATTTGTATTTAATTTTTTACATATAATTAGTTCTATTATAAATATAAACAATTCTTAAACTATTTTCTTCCATATGAATATATCGTGGTTTTGACAAGGTTTTTTTCACAAGTTGGTTTTGATAAGCAAACTAATTTACTGTTGTAAAAAGTACTTTAGATCAAATAAATATTGATGTTTAAAATCAATTCGGAACTCATATTTTAAATGAATTTTGTGAAAAATTTTTTTTTTTTAACGTTCAATTTTAATTATTTTTAATTCTGAAAAACTTTACTCCTTTTTATTGAAGTATTATTTTGAACAAATACGTCATTGAATAAATCGTGTTTCTTATTTTTCATCATTATATATCCATATTATTAAAATTAAGAATTTCTTTCGAAAAATATGTTTTGTATTGATAATATTTATACAATCGTAATATAATGTGGTTAAAACGGAGTTGCATATCTTTTAATTGAACTAGTATATTTGGATAGAAATTTTCGGTAGGTGATATTGCCAATGTTATTATAAAACGAGATTGTGATAGCTTATGATAGAGAGCAAAACAGAGAACTTATGCGAGTTGCGTCAGGAAAAGACAGAGAGAGAGAGAGAGAGAGAGAAAGTGAACGAATGAATGATATTGCTCGTTATTTCGACCACAATTTTGATTATTCTCTATTCTGCTTTTGCCCTGTTACTTCACGGCGGCTCTGAAATACTTGGCAAGGTCACATCCATGTAATGGCCAATGAGTATGAAAGCGCTTCAATTGCGTTGTTCTTTCCACGCGCGCCTTTTGCTACATATTAAGAGGATTAACGCAGCTAAGCAGAGAGGAATTTGCATGTGTATACGTGTGTGCGTGCGTACGTACGTGCGTATGTACGTACTTACGTGCTTATATCACGGATAGTTGGCATTTACCAGATATTATTATAATAAATTTGTAGCGATATCCAGCTTCATGACGATAAAATGAAATTGACCGTAGAAAACGAAATTCCTTTTGATCAAATGATTTAACCGTTAATTTATGCATTTATATATTCAATTAAGATTATCTTTAGAATTTAAAAATTTCGAATATTTGAAATAATCAAATAATATAATTTTATACATAATTTTATCACTTTGATAAGGTTTAGAAAAAATCGATTAAACTGTAAGTTTATAAAAATTATTTTAATTGTAAATAAATTATAATAAATTTATATTATTTAGAATTGAAATGTTTTATAAAATAAATATTTTCTATTCTTTCTGTTCAAATCATATATTAATCTTAATCAATCTTAATAAAGAATATATATATAGCAATGAATTAAATTAACTACAATTTTAATTCAATGTTAAATTATTGTTTTAGATTTAAATGAAATATATTAGTATGTATTTTAAAAGCCAGAATTATTATATTATTACTAGTTTTAACAATTTAGTAGCTATAAAAATTATCATTGAAACATTTATATTTCACTAATTGTATTATACTATTATATTATGGAGGAAAATAATTTTTTACATAAATAGATTTTTTTAAATTCGTACTGTTAAATGATTTACGGTTACGTCCAATTGTATCGGTGGTATTATGCACTTTAAATTTTAATAATTTTTTATATTATAAAATATATTATTTACAGCATTTTAAATTATTTCAAAAAGTTACTATAAAACCCTAGTTTGAAAATTATACGTAAAAGTTACGTAATATTTAATCAATTAATAAAATATTCAACAATTAATTATATTAGATATTTAATTAATGATTAATGCAACTCAGATATAATTTATATTATTGGAAATAAATTTGCTTGATTTCTGCTTGTGAATTTATAATAAATAAGGAAGAATTACTCAATTATTAAACTCAATTAAAAAAAATACTTTTATATAAAGCCAAGCAATTTAATAATTTTATTAAAAAGTCTTGTTTTAGACAATTTAATCGTTTCTCATACAGCTCTATATTAAGTTTTATATAATTATATTTGTATAATTCTTGATATAGGGAATAATTAAATATATTTATGTTTTAATATTACAAGATTTTAATTAAAGATCTTTTTTTTTTGAATATTATTAATGATATATTTATAATTTATAATAATGTGTTTTAAAGTTATTGGATACGTTTTGGAATTAAATATAATGGAAAGTTAAATTAATTTGAATTTATTAATTTTCATGTATTATGTATGTGAGTTTTATTCAAATAGAATGAAACCGTTAATTCTTGTCTAAGCTTATACGTAGCTTAAGCCAAATAATCGGGTCGCTTGAATGTCAACATCGTTCCAGTATTAAGCACTATCAGTATTAAACACTAACTTGTCTGTCATCCATTGTACTCATTTTCTTCTTGAGTTCGGTTGTGGTTTGACCCACTTCAGTACCTTGTAATAAAGCAATTATAATCTATAGTCCCTCATCGCATTGTAACTATTGTCTTCCGCTATTGTATCAATCAAAGTATTTTAAAAAATTTTTGTTTCGTTCGGTTTGTGACAAAATAGAAACTCATGTTTATAATATTTTTATTATAATATTAATACATTATGTTTTTACACGTTCTACTATTCGCAAATATTTTTAATTTTACTCTTCATTACGTAGAAAGACGTCAGGTTTATCATAAAGCATGAATATATGAGTAAGATAATGTCCTGTATGGATGATTTATATAGGATTTATAAATAAGACATTATATATATAAGATATTATAATTATCTTATATAGGATTATTTGTTTGCTATAAGTTAATATTATTAGGTAACTATATATTTTTGATTACACACATAGGTCAAATATTTCTATTCTACGTGATACTAATGAATGCAGTAAATGAAAGTAATTGAATTGCAAATATGATTTATACTTAATCACATCAAAAAGGCTGTTAGGTCTATAATTTTATTGTTTGTTTATATTGGTCTTCGAATTCGAAGACGAAGCAAGGAATTACGAGTGTGTAGCGTTCATTAATTGACATAACTTGTCTGCAGTTGTTCTTTCAAAGTAGGTTTTTAAGTGAATATTCATGTGAAAACTTATTTCTTTTTTAAAATTTGTTTCTTTATTAATTCAATATCAAATAATAGCTAATTAGTTAACAAGTGCGAAATTGTTGCTAGTTGAATTATGCGAAATTAATTATTTATATTTTTAAAATATTAATACATTAGCTTCTATTTATACATTTAAATGAATTTCTTTAATTTATTTTCTAATGTTAGATATTTCACTTTTTAATATTTATTACTTTCTTTCTATTACCTATGTAGGATTTTTTTAAATTTGTAACTGTTTCCTTTGATTATTAATATATTTAGAGTAAAATGACACTTGTGTTACGAATAATTTTTTTATTATAATTAGAAATTTACCTTGATATATAATGAGTTGTATACAATAACAATATTTTTAAATCATTTAATTTATTCATCTTTTTTTGTGTAAACAGGTGGAACAACAAGACTTGCCAGGAATAGATTGTGCTTATTTAGCAATGGATACAGAGGAGGGTGTGGAAGTCGTTTGGAATGAAGTGCAGTTTTCTGAACGCAAAAATTTCAAAGCACAAGAAGAAAAGATTCAGTTGGTATTTGAGAACCTCACTCAACTTGAACACCCAAATATTGTTAAATTTCATAGGTATTGGACAGATACCCATAATGACAAACCCCGAGTAAGTTTTCTATCATAAACATTCTGCCTTTTCTGAATTTTTGATTAAATAATTATTTATGAGATCAGTTTTTATACAGAGCTATATTGTAATAATATTATATTTTTTATTAACGTATATTTTTTATTAAGTCATTAAAATTGATTTAATATTGTATATATTACAATAAATTATATTTTCATAATTATATATTATAAAATAGATAATTTATTGATATATAAATTTGTTTAGAAGGTTTTAATAAAAAAAAGAAACAAAGAAATAATTAAAGATTTTTTTTATTAAAAATTAAAGCTCAAATTAAATTTAAAATAATTTTATTTGTATTAAACATTATTAATAATGTGCAAAATAATCAAATAATTTTTTATATTGATATTCTATAATCAATACAAATTTTCAACTTTTTAACAAGTTTCTGTATTAAATATTTACTTTCTAAAAATCTTAACATATTAATTTTGTAATTATGTTTGCTGTAGCTATACATATTATTGTAACATGTTTTATGTATTACATATCAATTTAGAAGAAAATAATCGATATTTATATTCTTCTAGGTTATTTTTATAACGGAGTACATGTCATCTGGATCCTTAAAACAGTTCCTAAAACGAACAAAACGTAACGTAAAAAAATTACCGTTACAAGCGTGGAAACGGTGGTGTACTCAAATTCTTTCAGCACTCAGGTGACTATAAATAAATGCATAATTAATTTCTCATTTGTCAGTGGTAGAGATTTTATGTAAAAAAATTTATTAGTATAAATAATATTAGTAACATATTATAGTAATTATTATAAATTAAAAGCTATTAATATTTAAATTATTCTTACATGTGCGAGAATTGTTAGATAATTGTAAATAATAAATAACATTAAGTTAAATTACAAGTAATACTTCATTATGTGCTATTAACGATTATATTCAAGGAAAATTAATATATTAGAAATTAATTTAGATGAAAAAATGCAACTTTCCAATTTCCTATGCAATAAGAAAAATGTTATTTTGGGCTTATTTGTGCTAAATTAATATTAAACAATGTTTTAGAATTTAATGTTAGTTCAACAGACATAATTTTATTCTATATTTTTACACAATGCCTCTACAAAATATATTTTATAAACAAAATTGAAAATAGAAAAATAAAAAATATTTTAATATTCAATTTCAATTATCAGTTTTTTTAATGTGTATTGCAATTTTCATCTTAAATAAATTTTAAGTGTTTATACAATATAAAGAATCGATCTTTTACTACATAAAGACTAAAAATCTTAAATTATTCGGTTTTTTTTTTATTATAATTTTTCATCAAATAATGAAGATTGTATATTATTGAAATACTGAAAAAATAAAGCATTATAAATTATTTCATACAGAACATAATGAATTTTATTTTACGAGTTAGTATATTAATTTTTAACTGTAATTTGTCAATTAATCTTGAAAAAATATTTTCAGTCTCACCTCCTATTATTCATGGAAATTTAACTTGTGATACTATATTCATACAACATAACGGTCTAGTCAAGATCGGTTCTGGTAAGTTATTACCATCATTGACAGTCTGACATTTATTCATAAAAGCAACATTTAAAAAAATAATAACCAAATATAACCAAAATGTAAATGTATAAAATATAAGTATAAAAATATGTTTGTGTATAAATAAAATGTATATAAAAACTGAGTGATTCATGTTAAGAGTATCTCGATTATTTTATTTTGTCAATGAGATAATATTCAAAGTAGTTTAATTGTTTTAAAATAAGTGTTTTTAATCGAGAATAGCTAAATTCTATTATATATCTTCTATAGCATTTCTATTTACTCTGTCGGTAAGGTTGACAATCTTAATGTATGCATACATTGTAAGAGTTTATAGTAAGAGTAACTTCCAAAAATCATAGATTAATCAACACTGAACATTTAATATACTTTCAAAAAATTATATTACAAGCATTATATTAGCAGATCAACAGATTAAGATAACGAAAAATATTTAACTTGAGTAGTTTAATTGTAGTATTTTAGCTTAATTGTAGTTTAAATTTATTTTATATTTTATTGTTTTACTGATTACAATTTGAAACTTCTAGTTTGTTAGTATTTTAATACATTCGCTTAATCTATGAATTTTTTTTTATTATATGAGGAATTATCTGTATAGAAGGACTTAATTTACTCATAAGATAAATTATCTAATACAAAATATTGAATAATATTATGTAAAATATAGTCAAATGTTTAATGAATATTTTATTAATTGATGCTTTTGTTTTTGCTTTTAAATTTCAGTGGCACCTGATGCAATACACCATCATATAAAAACTCATAGAGAAAATATGAAGAATATGCATTTTGTTGCTCCAGAATATGGAAGTTAGTATTTTTTATATAATTAATTTAATTATATAAGTAAAAAATAATTTAATAATTTTGAATTGCAAAATAATAAATTGTTTTATTTTTTAATACATAATGATAATATATATATATATATATATATATATATATATATATTTAAAGAAAAATTAAATAAGGTATTACAGTTTAAAAGATAAAATAGAATACTATTATATATGAATTGTAATTGATTTTGTATATTATTTTATAAATATATTTGATTTAAATTTTTATTATATTATCTTTTTTTAATTTTAGACTTAGCAACACCTGCCATTGATATATACTCATTTGGCATGTGTGCATTGGAAATGGCTGCATTAGAAATTCAGGGAAATGGAGACAATGGTACAGTTGTTACAGAGGAAAATATCAAGAAGACAATAGAATCTTTGGATGATGCACAACAAAAAGATTTTATTCGAAAATGTCTTCAAGCTGATCATTTGAATAGGCCAAGTGCCAGAGAACTGCTTTTTCATCCTGTTCTTTTTGAAGTTCATTCATTGAAGTTACTCGCAGCACATGCTTTGGTTAATTCAGCCAGTAAGATTAATTTTTCTTTTATATTTAAAGTTAAGATATTTAGACTGAATATTATATTATGAAATATTAATTTGTAGCAAATATTTCCGAGACTATAACGGATGAAGTGTTGCAAAGGCTTTATGGTCCAGATACCGTCGTTGCCGAAATTAAGTATCAAAATAGGCCTTCTCATCAAATTCGATTTAGTGATATACCTGTAGCAGAGAAGCTAGAAAAGTTTGTTGAAGATGTAAAGTTAGTAAAATTATATTTAATATAAATTCAGATATTATAAATCTATTATAAATAATTGAATAATATAGAACAATTTTTAACAAAACTATTGTTTTTCCTTTAATAGTAATGAAATAAAATAATTTGTAAAATAAAAGTAAAAGGAATTTGTTAAATTTTAACAAATAAGCAGTTAAAAAAATTTAAATCATAAATGATTTATGAGAATAATAATAATAAATGAGAAAACTATGATGTTTGAATAATTTTAAGTAATAATTGAATATAATAAAATCATATTGTCAATATATACAAGATTGTAAAAAATAATTTTAGATATGGAATTTATCCATTAACTGCATTTATGGCCAAACTTCCACCACCCGTCCGGCCTCGGGCAATTTCTCCCGAGGTTACGGAGTCTGTGAAGTCTGTGACTCCAGAACCTGTTGATGTGGAATCTCGTAGAGTAGTTAATATGATGTGTAACGTCAAACCTCGAGAGGAGAGCTGTGAATTGCTTGTAAATTTTTTATATTTTTTCTATAATTTAATTTATAATTTCTTTTAACAAATGCTATTTTATATTGTATCTGCAGATGACAATATTGTTGAGAATGGATGATAAAATGAATCGACAGTTAACTTGTCCAGTTTCACAAGCCGATACATCAATGCTACTCGCACAGGAACTTGTACATTTTGGTTTTATTAACGAAGTGAGTGTAAACATTTTAAGTATTGTGTTAATAAAATTGATACCGATTTTTTTTCGGTATATTAAATAATTAAAATTTTAAAGGTTTGTTAATAATAAAATTCTTATATAGAAAGATTTTTTTATATTATATTATTACGCTTATAACAATAGTATTTATTTTTATTTAATGTAAATTTGTTATCTATGCCAATATATTAAGTAGTAAGATAATTAATACGTTGTATGCAATGACAATTATTTGAGAATAAATTTAAAAATAAACTTATAAAAGAAATATTTATTTTGAAATGTTATTTTGGTTTAACTTCAGAAAAAGTCTAAAAAATTTTATAAAATTATACTTTAATAAAAAAGACTTCTTATTTCATTGTTTATAAAAAAATATTTTCAAACATATTTTTTATTTTATATTTCATTTTAAAAATTTTTATGCTCTTTAAAATTAAATTTTGAAAAATAAAATACATATAATTATCATAAAATTTTAATCAGAACCATTAAATTCTTAGTATATAAAAAATATACTAAAAACAGATTTTCTATACAGTTTCTAAATGTTTTATTATACCATTTAAATGTATTATACTATTATACTGTTTTACTATGTACTATGTACTATTTTATTATACCATTTAAATGTATTATTATTATACTATTTAAATGCTGAATACATTCAGCAAGATTATGTTATAACTATAAAACAAGGAAATTAGTCATAAAAAATTTCCTTTAAATGAAAATATTTAATAAAATATGAAATAAATTAGATAAAGGGGCAAATATATCTGTTTGTATTTAAATACAAATTTATTCAATTTTTTTTATAAAAATAGATACTTTTTTATTTTTATTTATAGGATGACCGTGACAAGATAGCAAATTTGATTGAGGAAGCGCTGCGCAGTTGTTTCAATAAGCAGCAGTTGCTAAGCCCTGGTCTTGTCTCGCTTACTAATCTGCCTAGTCAGACAACGCTGTTATTGCCTGGGCCCGAGTTTCCTCGTCTTCAACCTCTTAAAAGTATGGAACCGGGTACGAGGCAACAGCAGCAGCAACGACATTACGATCCTGACATGGAGCCTCAGACGATTGCGAACGAAGTCGGCAGTTAACCGGCAGTTGTTTATTTTTTTAGTGTTCGTCGATTCTATCGCTGTGCCACTTCGCACACTCCATGTATAGACTGGCTATGTATTTTTCTATTTTAAGTAAGAATGCAATGGAAGAGAAAACGAGAAAAGGAAAAAAGAAAAACAAAGCATTAATGCTGAACAAGGGGAACATGCAGAATTTTTCATTTGTCTTTCAATCGACAGATATAATATAAGAAAAATATACAAAATAATTGCACTAAAAATAGTAAATAAATGGGGCAGTACTGAATATTAATATTACAATTAAAATAGTAAGTAATATACAGTAAAAGTTTTATAAAATTAAGCTGTATTGAATATATAGCATTTATAGGTGTGTGCTAAATTACATTGAAATAAGAGATTTGTGAATTTGAATGCATATTAAATTCGGTACCAAATATTACATTACTTGGTTTGTTTTTTGATTGGTTATCTTATATATTCTTTTACTGTATAATTACTAAAATATGAGGTTTATTTATAAATTTTATAAAGTGAAAACTTAAGGTAAAATAAATATAAAGATTATGGCCCATGATTATAATTTGACTTAATTTACCTTAAATTTTGAATTATTAAAATTTTATGAATATTATAAAAATAACTTTATCAGACATTATTTATTAATAAGTATTTATTGATTACTATTCAAAGTTCTGGATTTGAAAATTAATGCGAGTTCCCTGTTGTAAAGATATGCTAGATGCGAGAAGGAGAAAGAAGAGGGAGATGGCAAAGAAGGTCCCCGTGGCTTGCTTCGATATGTATATTATGATTTATTTTTAACGTCGAATCTGCATTACATGATGTTTTTTTTTGTCTCCTTGCTAAGAAAAACCAGCATCAGTAGGGATCAGTGCTGGGTGACCATGACGATTCGAACGTTCCTGAGTTTTGTTTACTTGTTTTATACGGTACAGAATAATTAGTTTTTGTACTTCGGGTAGGTACGAAAAATGTTTAACTTATATACTATCAATATTATGCTATAAGCAATTTTTATACGTTACGCTTGTTCTTTTTTACATTCATTATTTATTTGCAGGATTTTATTATAATGATCTTTATTTATAAAATGAAGTGATTGTATATTGTTATTTAATTTCTTAATCCTTTTTAAATTTCAATATTTAGAAGACACTTATTTTAATATTTATTATTTGTCATTTTTGTATACTTTTAGTCATCTATGATGCTTCTTAAATTGATGCTTTTAAAATATGTTATACTTCTATTGCTATTAAAAAATTAATTATTGAAGATTTTAATGTTTAAATTATAAACCAATGTTAAGTGTTGATCAGTTTTAAATATTAACTACTAAACTATATATTCAATTTTTTTTATTTTATTTAATATATATATTTATATATCATGAGTTTGTGATATTAGTGTATATTTTAAAATAAAAGCAAGTTGAGTTGACAAACGTTCGAATCGACGTGCAGTTCTGGACCAGAATAATTTAGCAATAGGAACGGACTGAGAATATCTTAATATATTTTTTCTGAATTAATGTCGAGAAATTTTGGTTATTTATTTATATAAAAGGAGTTTGAAATTCTAGAGTAGTGAAATCGATTATAAAATAATTGTCGCGCAAATATCTTTGTTTCAAGAAGTTGTTTATTAAGAAGATATCTACACAGTATAATATAAAAGAATTTTTGTCTACATAATTTTAGTAGAATATTAGGTACATCTTAAGATAATAAAAATTAAGATGTTCACATTGTTCCGTTCCAGAACATTACATATAAAGAATATTTTGTAAATCTTGGCGCTCTGTGCAGTCCTCATTTTTTAATAGTGAATTAAAATATATTAATATAATACTAATAAGAAAACAGAACTCTCGCACAAAGCAAATGGAAGAAAGAAACCCTTTTTGGCCACCAGTGCGAATCGTCTGAATGAAATCGCTAAAAAATGATAGATTTAACGTAAATGTAAAGTTATGTATTAGGAGTACTCCCAAAAAAATTTTACGGCAATAAATTTTGTCGAAGAGAATAGCCACGGGAGCAGCGCAAACTTTGGTATTATCGATGTGATGCAACCAAGGTTATTAAAAGAATTACTCTTTTTCATCTTGTCTCTTCCTCCTTTTTCTCCAATAATTATTATTTTTTCTTTAGAAAGTGAAACTCGATGCTTTGCTAATTTGTTTAATTCAATCAAACCATGTGATATAGATAAATATTATTTCTTTCAACTGACAAATAGTATACGTGATACTTCAATTATAACAAGGAATGACCGATTATTTAATATAGATAAAGATACGAATTCCTTGCGTTACTTTGAGATTAACATTATTTATTCATTTGTCATGATTCTTTCAAATGACTTATTTTACCGACTAGATCCTTAATATATTTTCTTAAAAGCATTTATTTAAAATATCAACATAAATAGTAAAAATGTTACTTATACTATTATTTATTTCTTACTTAACAAAATGTCTTATTTATTATAAAGCTTTCATTTTATAGATGAATATTTAAGTAAACAAAAAGTGTATAAATCAAAGTAATAAAATTGGATATAACGAAATTAGTTAAAGTTATAACATAATATTTAGAGGCAAATCAATGCTTTAGACATCAAGGGGAAGGGATACTGAATAAGAATAAGGAAGAGACAACTGAAAAAAGAGATCCTTGTAAATAATTATATTTTTAAGAGAACTGTCAATACAGAAAACTAGTCATATAGCTATATTCGAGTATAGAACGAGCTAATACATCGACCTCGTTACGTCTCTTGCATTTACAATGATACGCGCTGGGCCAAGACGGGAGGGAGACATTGTGAAAAAAGAGAAGAACGAAGTGTGAAATATAGGCGTCGATTAATGAGAGTTTAAAATAGAAATTCAAAATTATGCATATGCAATCGAGAATGTAAGAGTGTGTGAGAAAAAGGAATAAGAAAAATTACGATATAATGATTCACCTAATTTACCTATTCCAATTGAAAGCAAAAAAATTATAGAATTTTTGTTATATATGTTACACACAAATGAATATGCATGACTGTAGAATTGGGTGTGTCGGTCTGCGTTCGCGTAATGTATACGGTCATGTATGTATGCATGTTTGCATGTGTGCATCCAGTATGTAGGTATGTATGTATTAACGCATGCATGCATTCATAAAGCACGAAACGAGTAATAAACCCTCAGCGATATTATATGTTTAATAGGATTGCAAATATGGTTGGTCTCGATGATTTTGAATATAGTGATTATTTGGCGCAAGCGTAAGACAAAGTGTTGGATGTATAGCTTTGTAAAATATGATAAATCATAATAGAACAATCGTACGGGAGCGAGTGAAAAGTATCAGGATAAACGAAATATGTTTTTTTAATTAAATTGCTTTAAGCGCAAAGGAGTAACATGGGAGAACGAGGAGTAATAAAAAGCGACAACAGTGATAACATAAATAAAATAGTTTAAGCCTATGGCGCGTTTGCTTTCAATATGGAATTTATATTTTCTTTTCTAATTTATACATAATAAATTCTTACAAAAATTTTATTTTTTTTTATACATGGAAATAAATAGCGCGCTAATAATTGGACAACGAAGGAATATTAAAAAAATTATTGAACTCGATGTTAAATGCTTTTTCCCTTACCAGTTTTTTATGTAACTAATATTTTTTATCAATCGATGTAACATTACAATATATTTTTGTATAAAGTTACTATATTTTTATCTAAATATTGTTTAAATTATAATATTTCGAATAATTTGTTATATAAATTAAAATTTATATACTTACTTATTTATAGAAAGAAAAAATTGTGAAAAGCATGCAGATGAGAACATTGTTTTAATCTCTCCAATTTTGCAAGATTGTACATTTACAATTTCGATTAGGATAATGATTTAAATATATTTTTTATTTTCACGCTGATTTCAATAATTTTCATGGAGATGTTTTTTATAATTACGCTATCTTAATGCAAAAAAGATATCTAAATCAAAAAGCAGAATTTAATTGTAATTTGGAATTTACAACAAAATTATGCTTATTGCTCTTATACATTATCATTGACGTTGCAATTATAAATTTGGAAATATTTGATCGATGTTGTCCTATTTTTATTTACATAATTAAATTATACGTAGGAGCCGTACTAAGCTTCTCCTTCCATATATAAATACAAAGATATAAGTTCCAGTAGGCTTTTTTATAAGTTGAAATTATATGTTACAAATTACCAAATTATTCAACTGTCAATTTAAATAAAAGCCAATGCATTACAATATTGTTTTATGTTGCTCTTATTAATAATATTCTTACCATTGAAACAAATTTTGGATATTTTACAAATTATTATAAAATCAGTAATTCCCATATTATATTGTATATAATATTGATATATATATATATATATATATATATATATATATATATACATATATACACACAGAAGATAAACTATAGTATTATAAGTTTTCATAATTGAGGGATAAATTTCAATGAATTTGTTTAAGGTTGAATGAAATCATTTAGAAATAATTATTTTTGTTTTGGTAGATTTTTGGATGAAACGATCCAATAATTTTTTCAGATTTTTAAATAAATTTTATACAGAATATAATATTTTTTATGTTTTTTCACAAAGTATATTTTTAATTTTTAATTTTAAATCACACTAATTTATTTATGTTGAAATATCTCTATAAATTATATACAACATTTATTTTAATCATATTTTTAAAATTTATAGTTTTAAATATATATATATATATGGGTGCGCGCGCGCGCGCGTGTGTGTGTGTGAGTGTGAGTATGTGTTCAAACTCGAATAAGTTTATTTGCGATATTCATAATATACTCTTTTTTTCAGTTTCGTAAGATCTAAAAATTATAAAATTTTTTTAAGTTTGTCTTATTTAAAAAGTATTAATGATTAATAAATTTTGTTACTAAAATATATGTGATGTTAACTTTAATTTATTTATTAATTGTAAAGATTAGATAATTTATTAAAATATGGAATTAAAATGTGAAATTACAAAAAAATGTATGTTTTTTTAATCTGTTCCGTTATTTTTGTAATCTAAAGTCATGTATGAATTTATTAATATAATTTATTTAACAAGGTAATATAAAGATATTATTTATAAAAGTTTCTTTAATTTAAAAAATTAATGTCATTATTCATTAAATCCAAATTACTTATACATTTTATATTTCCCAAATCTATTAAAAAAAAAATTAATATTGTTAAGTTAACTTATAATGAAAATCCAAATATATATTTTATTTTTTCCTTCAACTAATGATTCTACTAATTAAAGGAATTCATAACTTTTATTTTTCAATAAAATGACGTTTTATTCTTCATTATGTAAAATTAAAAATCATCAAATTGTTTCACATTAAAAGTATTTTGTTTTATAAAATTAATGAGATTTGTTTGTATATTTCTTCTCCTCTTTACTTTTTATTCTTGAATGTAGAAAAATATTGATAGCCTATTTTATATTTTTTAAAAAAGATAAATAGAAATTATCTTTATTAATTAATTTATTTTGTATATACTAATTTTTATTGGATTTTGTAAATTATTTATTGAGTGTTTATTTATTGGGTAAATGTATTTAAATAAATAAATAAATAAATAAAGGTATTGAAGTGTCGAATACGCTTTTCCCCCAAAATCTTTAAGTTCCAAAATTTAGTAAAATTTGTAGCTTTAATCTTTAATTATATATATAATTTGATTTATTACCTTTTACAGTATTAGTATAAATTATATTAGTATTAGTATAAAATTATATATTTTAAGTCTAATAATTATGAATTATGAATTTGCTTATGTTAGTATTATTACAAAATATCGAGTAGTACTTACGAGTATTAGTATTGAACTTATATTATTTGTATATGAGTTAATTTATTGATATGTCTCTACTAACTTAAAATTCGATTATATTGAAATTCATTTAATTAAATAATTGAAAAGAATTTCTATAAAATTTATTGATCTAATTATTAAAATCCAATGTTAATTATTTTGAAATTTCTCACTATTTATAAAAAATTTTTAATGAATTTGAAAATGACCTGAACTTTATTCGATTTTTTATGCCATTATAAACAATTTATGATATTTTAATTTTTTCAGTTTTGTTAGTTATTTTATTTATCACTGAATAAGATTTCCTCAAAGTATTTTACCAAAGAAAGCATTATTCAATAAATCTAATATGATATGCTTGAACGGTATTATCAATAGTATGTTGGTGGGTTTGATAATCCATTAAAAATTTAGTTAGAAAAAGAAATTATATCGTTCTAGATTTATGAAGATCAATAATAATTATTTGTCTATTTAATATTTTATTTATTTGATTCTAATAACATATGATGCAAATAATTGTATTTATTGTACCGATAGAAAAGCTTTAAATAGTATATTATAAAAAAAATAATATTTTCTTTGATATATATTTTTTGTACTTTATTAGTGTTTTAGTTAAGTGATTAAGTTATTTTATTAAGTTTTGGCCGCAATTAAATCAAATTTTTTTAAACAAGATATTCATATAGAAATCTTCAAATAGCACACCTTTTTAAAAAATTTAAAAATAGAATTAAAAAAATTGTTGACGTTAATAGACTTTAATTGTTAAAAAATAGTTAAATAATAACAAATTTTTTACACTGCTTTTTTGAACACTTCACAACAAAAACCATACTTTAAAATATATTCGATTAATCTTTTATTATAATTCTTATAATATCAATTGTTCTTACATCAAAGAATTAATTCGAATAAAAAATTATGAATTTCGATAATTAACTTGAGATTTATGAATAATGTGTTATAATGACATAATGTTACTAGAAAGAACTTATAAAAAATGCTAATATATTTTAATCTTGATTTGTAATTTGAAGTCATTGTAAAAGTTACAAGGTGACTGAGTAATTGCCAACATTGGCCAGAATTAGTATAAAATGTTAATTATTTAACTAAAGTTATGTATATCATTGAATAGAAATTGTATAAAAATGAATTTATATAGTTTATTGTATTCCATGGACTAATTTATCTAAGAATTTATTAATATTTTTTATATCAATAACAATTATTGTATATCTATCAATTATCTATCAATTATAAGTAACAATTATTATATATCAATAAAATTGAAATTCTTGTCATTCAATATGAACGCCATGCAATTTCTTAATTTTATTTAAGTATGCACAGTATTTTTCTCATATTAATTTTCATAATTTTATAAAAATATAATAAATTCCAATGGCTGCAGTTTATTATATATTTTGATTGATTTGCGGCCTAAATTTTATAAAATAAAGAAGTTCTGACTGTTATTTTCATTAACTATTCTCAGAAATATTAAAATAATATTTATGCAAATATATGACTTATTTATTTAAACATTTCTGATATTACCATAATGTAGAGTTAAATTATAGTCTTATCTAAATATCTCAAATATGATAAAATATTAGAAGTAATTTTAATACTTATCTTCAGTAAATCTACATGATAGGAAGGAGAAATCAAAGAAAAATTATTGTTTTAATTTCAAAATGAATTTGAATCGATGTAAAATAAAGCCAGTATAAAATATTTCATTTACTGCAACGATAAAATCTGTATTATATAATGTTTTGCTGAGAATTCATTAATTACGAAAATTACTTAAAATTCACTGTTTTATTCTTTTTAATTTTAATAAACATTTATTAATTATTTTAATTATTAAAATATTGTTTCATTTTCTTTATAGTTAAATATTCTCCAATTGTGATAAAATATTTCTAACATTGTATTAAAAATACTATTTTTCATAAAATTGAAATTATTGCTTCTACTTTAGTTGCACGTGTACTTCTATAGTTATTTAATACTATATTTATTCAATTACAAAACATATTTAACACACTTTTGATTTATATTAAAATTTTTATGTAATCATAAATATAATAATTCAATTTCTATAAAAATATATGTCATTGTATTTTAATTTATAATCAATATGATTATATAAACTTCAAAGACAATATAAAATTTAAATAAATGATGTTAATATCAAATATTAATATAAAGCCACAATTTTTTAATATTATATTTACAGGGGAATATTTTGAAAATAGAAATATTTATTTATTTATTTATGATATATAAAATAAAATATATTTGATCAAGTATTATTAGTAGTAAACCTGAGACAAAGAATGGAATAAAATGTATTCATTATATCTTTATACGTATTAATTAAATTATATAATAATATACTCCTTCTTATATATATTTAATTATTGAGGATTAAAAATAGTAGAAAATTGGGGCATATAATTCCTAAAGATAACTCTTAAAGATAACTTTTTATCATATTTCTCAAATATTACAATAATCTTTTTATGTTATTTATTCTTTATACAAAAATTTTATTTATTATAATTTAATTTTAAATAAAATAAAATTAAAAATGTTGTTGAAATTAATTATTCAATTAATATTAAAAATATCTCTATATTATTAATAACAATTCATATGATAATCTTCTATTAGAGAAATCTTGAATTATTGTGTCATTAGTAAATAATACATAATAATAAAAAATTTTTAACAGTATATTTTACAATTGTAAATAGTATTTTTGACATTAAATAATAGAATTTAATATTACACAAAATAGATATTTAATTATCACTAATTTTTTACAGATTACTATTTTTTATAAATTATAAACTTAATATAAATATAATATTTATATAAGCCAAAAATAATCAAATTGTCAATATCCATATTATCAATAATATTATAAAAGTAAAATTTTCATAATACCGACATTTAAGTAATCGTAACACAATAACATCTTATTTCTTTGTCGTTTCTATGAATATGAAGAAAATCCATTGAATCACATAATTGTTGAAGATAGAATGAAGAAATAATTATGAAATAATGCTATATCAATGATTTTTTATTCTCATGGTATATTATTGCCAATTTTATTATCTGTTAGTGAAAATTGTGTAAAAACTAATAAGTTATATACATTATTGACAATCCAAAGATATAAGAAATTAAATAAAAGTCTTTTTTGCTAGTTTGTTTACACAAATATTTACATTGAAACAGTAGCGTACATTTTTGATATTATAAACATGATTAACATGTTAATTCGATGATTATTTGTTTTATGAATATAAAAATGATTCCTATCTTTTTATATTTCCTATCGTTACCAATTATGACTAGTTTTAATTTTATCTTTTTAACGTTTCTGGAAAAAGTAATTTTTGTTTTGTTGTATCAACAGTTTTTGTGTCGTCTTTCGTACGATTGAGCAAATAGTCCAGATCGTGGGATATTCGATCGAGCATTCCGTTGGTTGTTAGACTTTGATCGTCTTCATTGACGATGATCCCACACTGTTTATTGAATGTCTTAAGCATCACATCCTCGCATTCGGGTTGTTTCCTTTCCATAGTGTTGGCGATATCAGGCATTGTCATTGAAGGCGTTGTCGTAGTGGTTGTCGTGGTTGTCATTATATTTGACGTTGTAATCGTCGTTAGAAGTGGTGGTGATGATGATACCGACAACGTTATCACTTCCTTGCCATTCACCTGTTTACGAATGAAGGTCTGCTCCGAAGTGACGGATATTCCATGGTTATCCGCGTTGCCGTTTACCGACAGGGTGACGTCAGGCATAGTTAAAGTTTTACCGCTCACGAGGCAAGTTTCTACCTGAGCATCGCAGAGGATTTTTGTAGGAAAATCCAATTGTCGTTCGCGATGTTGGAGTTGGTGAAGCTCAGTCGTCATTGTCGCTGTTGTCGTAGTTGATGTTGCTGTTACACGTATACCGGAGAAGCTTACTAATTCATTGTGCGGATTCTGAAATAATTAAATGGAAATTATCATTTTCCTTCCAAAACTTCAATATCAAATGAGAAAATGGACAATCTGTTTTAAATTACAGCAAATTTAAAATGTAGATTTTATTTTTTGCACACAATAAAATATATAACAGCCTTCATTTTTTCAATTTCAAATAGAGTAAGAAGTTTAAAAAAATTATAAATTTATTTCTTATGAATACTTTAGAATTGAAATTTTCCTATAAGTTTTAAAACTATTATAAAAATCGATTTAAAATAAAAATTTATAGTTCAGAAAATGCTAAATTATAGCGTATGTATAAAAATTAACATATAGAAAATATTAAACAAAAAGTTTAATATTTTCGGAATTATCATATCAACTTATATTATAAAAGTGAAATTAATAATAAGAAACTTATTAATGAGCAAGTGATTCAAGCGATATATTAGCAGTAGTATATATTGCCACAAACTCTTTCCTTAGTTACATAAGATAAACAACAATTATATATTAAACTACTTTTATTACCATTTTTGTAATAATATAGGCTGTAAATTATTATTATTTTAATTATTTGAAATGCAATTCAGTTTAATTTTAATCATCTATCTCTATATATTATACGGTTTGTTTATTTCTTATATATATATATATATATATATATATATATCAATAATTGTAATCATTTTATTTTATTTTATTGCAATAAATAACATTTTAAATGTTAATTTAATTACATCATTTTGTATAAAATGAAAAATATTGAATAATAATATAAATATAATAATAACAAATTAATAGTTTTTATGTATTTCAGTATTTATAATTTCGTAATATTTCGTCTATTTAACCAGAAAGGAAATAAATCATTTTTCTTATATTCACAATTTATATTTAAAATTATGTTTTTTAATTTTATAACTATTATTTTATTAATAATCTAATATTTTATAACTAATAAAATAAATAATAAGTCTAAATTATGTTCTCGGCATATATATTATCTGAAAGAATATATATATATATATATATATGAAAATTTAATAATGGAAGATAAATAATTTTAGTGAAATTTTAAATAATTCGTGTTATAAGTACTGTTAACACTATAGCAATTTTATCATTTGTTCAATAGAAACAAAAAGTTTCTTATTTATGTTTATTAAATTACACACATTTTATTATGTAGTATTATTATGCACAAGGTATAAACAAGGTATCCATAATATGTATAGCGGATTAATATTCGAAAGTAATTTTGTTTTATTTTAGTTGGTACATTATTCTTAATAATTACTTAAAAATAAAAGACTAGACACAAATAAATTCATTAATATTTTTTATGTGCATATTTTAATCTATAGTTAGGCATCGCATTGAAGGTAATATTACTTTTAAACTAGTAAATTATATTTTTAAATATTTTAATTTTAAACAGATTATCATTGTAATTAGAACATAAAACTTTTGGCATTCATATAAAAAAAGATTTATTAAATATTTTTAACATTTTAGTTATCTTTAAGGAATTTATGCAAGGCATTAAAATATTAGATGTTTAATTTACATTAATTTATAAAAATTATATGTTATAACTTAAAGAATTAATTATAGAAGATTTATATTATAAAAATGTAAAATAATGTAGTATTTTGAGTAATATACTCAGGTCATTTATAAATAAGACTAGAAATTCTTTCATTATATGTTATTATGAGTTTTCAACTGTCCAAAAAATACTTTCACGTGTGCATAATTTTTTAATTGTTTATAAATAAAAGCAAGTACTTAGAATTTTAGTCCGTTAGCTCATCAATTATGAAATAAAGTTGGAATCTTAATGTAGAATAGTTAAAGATTATTAGCCATTTAAATACGTTTTCGAAAAAATAACAAATATTAAAAATTTAGCAGATTTTTATCAGAATTTTATGAAATTATTAGATTTGATGAGTGAATAAATAATAATCTCATTGAATTCCAAGTATTAATGTTTTCAAAAATAAAACAAGATACTATAAATAAATTAGTATTATTTCGTGGAAGTTATGGATAGAGAATTTTTAATTATTCAATACAAGGTGTATAATCGGAATCTCTAGATATTTGCCTTAGTTATAGTAGCTTTGGTAACATCAACGTCGCGGTATCCGAAATAATAGTTCAGCCATTTGTAAATGTTCTTACTGTATACTCCGATGTGGCGCAGGTCTCGAAAGTAGCGAAGCCACTAGTCGGTCCATATCTCCGTAGTGGCTGGTAACTAAGATTGGATTCGTCAAATGTTAGGTTGTCTACATGATGCACTTGGATTTCTGGTGTTGAATGGGTGTGCATCGACTCAATGTAGCTACCTGCTGGTATCTCGGTTATGTACTCGTGGGTTTCGATGCCGACAGCGACACCACGCGCTTCTGGATAGACGGCAACTGATTCAGCCCCAAGTAGTAGACTCGCTGGTATCGTCATTGCCGTGCCCGAGGGTGAGGACGATAAGTCCCTTTCCCGTTCTTGGTATTTCGAATGAACTGTAAATATTCCAGTTAATGTCTCGTGAGCTAGAGAGCTTGATTGTTCGGAAAGCAGGAGATAGAAGAGGTGGGTGATACAGCACTCGTTGGGTAGCATTGGAGCAAGAGTTTTTGAGATTAAGCTTTTAAGTTTTTGTATTTAATTAATGGCTGCTTTACTTAGCTACAAGATTTCAATAATATTAAAGATGAGTTGAGTTTTGCAAAAACTGGTTTCGTTGACCGTGATTGTAAATGCTTACTTAAGATGAAAACATTTTTCATTAAGTTTTTATAAATTAAAAAATAATATTTTTGAAACCTGAGAATACATAGAAAATTTTCATATTGTAATTAGGATTGTACGATACATAAATTTTGTGACTAAAAATTTACTTTTTATATATGTAATTTTATAATTTTTATAACGATATACTTTTTTTATTTCTTATTAAAAATAATAAGTTATTGCAGAATATTATAGTTTCATAGTTGCATATACATATATGATCCTATTTATATAATACGTTAAATATCAGTAAATTCAAAATTTGTAATGAAACTGTTAAAACATTTTCGTTTGATCAAACGTTTTAATATCTAGTCATAAAAATTTCATTAAATTTGATTTTTGAATAGAATTAAATATAGTTTTCGCTTTACCCGAATTTCTAGAAATATTTCGAAAAATTCATTAATTGATGTTGTGAAATTCTCTTTTCAATATTTTACTTTAAGTAAAAACGTCAATATAATTTTTTTGCTAATTACTAAGTATACATAAATTTTTATTGAATGGAAAAATTTTAGCAAAATACAATATTTACGTTAAAATTTAATTATTTTTATAATTTATTCATGAAACTATTGAATGAAAGCAATGTTGAAAGTAATATTGAATTATTTCATTATATCATTACAGGATTAAAAGGTTTTCTTTGGAGAAGTCATTTGTAAAATTCAATGAATTTAGAGTTTTATATTTTATGATTAATCCTAACAATCATTTTTTTTAATATAAATAAATAAATTCACACACGCACACACACACACACACACACATACACATATGCATACACGCGTTTTTGTTAATTCTATTATTTATTTCAAAATCAGAATATATATATATATATATATATAAATATATAAGAAAAAATAAAATATTATTGTATAACTATATAATAAGAAAAATTTATTAAATTGGCTTTTTATTATTATTACAAAACTATATGAATAATTATATTTTCCCTTTTATTATTTCATTATTTTCATATTCTTATTTTTATCATATTATAGAGCTTTTATAATAATTAAAAAAATGCGAATAAGTTTTTTTTTTCAATACAATAGGTTACTACAATATTAGTACAATAAATTTGTCTTACTAATCAATTTAAATATATATATATATATATATATATATATATATATATATATATATATATATATATATATATATATGTTCTTATATAGTTTAGTATATTATATATAGACTATATATACTGTATATACACTATATATATAATACTTATATACAATATTTTTAATTTAATGTCATAATGTATATAAATAATAAAATAATAATTTAAATATTTTTATATATTAAATAATTAATAACTTGAAGTTAATTATTAGTATAAATTACATTTAGTTTCTAATTTATATTAACTCAGGGGTTTGTTTTACAAAAATTAATTAATTATAAATAAAAATTGTAAATACCTTCAGTTTGTTCAGAAGTACACTCATCGTCGGATTCTGTCTGACGTTTTAATTTATGAAGCACTGGAGCAACGACTAACACTTCACCACTCATTACGTACATTGCTAGAATTATAAATCCCTGAAAAAATCCATTCATACTATTTAATAACGAAAAATATAAACATTTATGTATGCAAGTTGCATCTAATGAAAAACGGGCTCAAATGTATTTTCAGATTATAATATATTATTGTTTTAATATTTATTTAAATACATCTTTTTATAAATGTTATAAATAAAATATAGTTTTTTTTCCAGAGTTCAATAGTTCTAACTTTAAAGAGTATATTGAGTTTGCGGCTCAACAGTTAAATGAAAAAATTTTTAAATACAAAATATGTTACACATTTTTATATTTTCTATATTTATTAAGTCCATGAATGGTAGATTGGTTAATATATTTTTTATATATAATCTTATCTAATAGTCTTTCAATATAGATGATGTTATAATTATAAAAATTAATGTAATACTAATAATAATGTTCATAATCAATTTAAATACTTATTATCATAATATAATACATGTAAAATTTATAGTAATTATAATATCGATTGAGTATCAACATTATATAACACGGATGTAAAAAAAATGTTTGTCATATCACATTTCATTATTGACTAATTTTTAAAGTTTAAATGTTATGTACATATTTTATTATAGATTAAAAATACAGAATTATTACATTATATATGTTACTTTATTCAAATATAAAGAAATAACTATATTTTAATTAATAGTCATTATTAATCTTTTAATATTTATTTTATTTATTTATTTAAATCATTAATTTAAAAATCTGTCGTTCAAATTTATGTATACTTGTAATATTTTATACTCTTTCATTATCAATGAAAGGAATAATTATGTAGCGAAATTAATAAGCATAAGATATAAAATCAAATTAATCATCAAATTATACGAAATAATCTACGTAGCAAAATATTACTATTTAAAAATTTATCGAATTGAAGTTAAATATTATATTAAGAGAGTAAACCATATTGAATATTTTTGACCATATGAGTAAACCATATTGGAATATTAACATTACAAATTGAAATAATTTTCTAAAATTTTCTATAATATTCGATACAAAAAATATTATATAATTATAATTAACTTTCCTTTAATTTCATTAGCATTTTTTTCTATAATTATTCAGTTCATATTATTATTAACACTTGCTTAAGTAAATTTATATATTTTATTATATAATAACTACTTTATTTTCATGAAAGTAATATTCTATAATGGTTGGGGTAGTTTAATAATAAGAATAATAAATTTCCATACCTTTTTTTTTGTGTAAATTAAAAAAAAAATTAGCATATTTATTTTGTATACTGCGTTCTCGATATATCAAGAATGTTAGAAATTTATGCGATTAATATATTTTTTTTTTAATGCAGATTTTAAACCAGTTTTATTTTAATACAATTAAGATACAACAAACTTTAGATAATAAAACTTTTGTAAAAAAATGCTTTATAATAAATTTTAAAATTATAAGTAATATAAGTAATATAAGTAATATAAGTAAATTTATATTATGACTAAATTCAAGTAAATTTGTCAAAGATTCCCTAATTTATTCATATGAAGTAAATAATAAACTTTGTTATGCTTATTACTCAATATTTAGGATACATAGTAAAAGCATTTATTCTTAAAAAAAAAATAAGGAAATTTATGAACTCTTTCATACTATTATTCATATAATTATTGAATTCTTGAAACCTTAACTGTAGATATTCTGGATCGTTCACATATAAACTGTCATTACATAATTAAACATTACCTCTCAATTACATATGGGAGTTTTAATGTATAAGTTCGTACCTTGTAGTATTGTTCGTTATATTTTCAATTATTTGAATTAGATGCTTTAAAGTGCATGTAAATTTTAAATGTAATAATTGAGCTTATTTACTTATTATAAACTTAAATGCTCCTATAAATAGATTTAATAAAATCGACAATTTATTTTATAAAATAAAATTATTTTAACTTAAATTTATATAAATTTTATAATATATATTATTTTTATCTATAGTACTATTAAACTGAAGTAAGTGCTCTGTAAAAAAAAATATTATTTTTTTCTAGTTTCATCTCTTTAAAATTGTGTACTTCGAAAGTTTCGAATAAAGTATAGTTAATGTTTAATATTGTTCAAAATAATTGTGCTATTAATAAAAAAATTATATAACAAATAACTTAATTTATTCCAATAATAATCTGAAATAAACTCATGTAATTAAAAACATTCTATACAAAATAAAGATAAAAATTATTAAGTAAAATTAAAAATATATAAAATTTTTTTAAGAGAATCAAACAACATTTTAATTGATCAAAATATTAAAAAGTTAACTTTAACTTATTGCCTTCAGTTTACAGTTTTACAGGTTTCAATTGTATTAGATTTTTATTTAGAATATAATTAAATATTTAAAGAAATAAAAAACATGTGAAATTCATTAATAATGATATTTTATGAATAAATTCTAATTTATAGGTAAGTAAAGCTTCAATACTGCAATATACCAATTTTTATATAAAAATCTTTCTTAAAATGTTCTATCATATATTCAATAGCATTCAAGGAATTGTAGTATAGAGTTATCAATTAGTAATAGTTGAGGTTTAGATGGTTCAGATTACAAAACCAGAAAAGTACGAATACCCGTTCTCCGAAAGTCTAGTGTTTATAAGATCAATACAGAGGATACGGAACTGTATTTAGACAAAAAAAAAAAGAAAAAAATAGATAATAAAATTTATACATAATAAATTATTAAATTAAGCTAATGAGGCAAGAAAAAATAATCATTGAGGTGTAGGTAAATAGGATTTAATCTGAATTAATGAAATCGGATATTTATACGTGCATAAGATACATTCAATTTTAATTAAAATTTTATTTAAAGAGAAAAAGCAGAATGATTTATTAAAATTTATTAGTTTTTAATACATCAGACTGAAATTTGGACTCTGGAAAAATTACAACCAATTGATAAACACACTTGTGTGTGTTTTTTATTAAATTGTACATATATATTACTATCTGTATAATCCAATAAAATCTTTTTACCAATCCTCTTTACATTTTCTGCTAACATTTATGTAATTTATGTTATCTTATCAAAGCAAGTGTAATCAGGGCAGTGTTCATTTATAAAATGGAAAAAATAAAAGCTTTCTATGATACTTGAGATCTTTAATATGATTGAAATAAAAACCATAAATGAAATAAAATACAATCATTTTTAATTGAAATTTCCATAAAACTGTTATCATTTTTCAGAAAATATGTTTTAATGTTCAATGAATTATATTTGAAAGATCTAATTTTCAATGATTCATGAAACTTTTGCTACATTTTTATGTTAAGATGTTTAATGTTATTATAATATATTATATTATCACTCATGAATTATATTAGTTTTTAATTTCGGTTGACACAAGTATTTATAATCGTATTGATTATAGATTCAAGTATAGTAAATTATTTTAAGATTGTATTAAAAAAATTTAGAACAATAAATAAACTAGCAATACAGAATAGTTACAATAAATAAATGATTAAATTTAACATAAATTCATCGAAAGGTATTTTAATTCTATAACATTTTTTAATTTACATTTGAATATTAATCTGATACTTTGTTGCGTTATAATCTTTTATGAAATCTTTTATAGATATATTAAATTTAGTATTTGATGATAATATTGGGTGTGCTGCAATTTATTATTTATAAAAGTATTAAAACGGTAACAATTAAATGCTATTTCTATTAAAGTCTAATAATAGGTCTAATAATAGTTCAAAAATGCATATATAATTTAAGAAGATCAAAATATTTACTTACTAAAAGAGCTGATTGAAATGCAAAGAGGTAATGATAGATGATTGATGAAGAGTTAACGTATAGGACCGAAGAGATCTCCATTGCAACGATACCGAAAATAACGATCGCCGAACGATGTAACATTCGTATTCTACAAATAAGTAATAATAAGTTATTGATATGCCTTTCCAATATTCTAATTGTATGTTATAATAGTAGATTTTAGTATGCATGATGCTTTCATTTGAAGAAGTGTTGAATGACTTCGTTTTGCCAAATATCAATATTTAAAAATATGCAAACATTTTTTAAATAATAATATGAATACAATATTTAAATGTTTTAGTTTAATTTTTCATCGTATTTACTTTTTCATTACTATATATTTTATAAGTAAAATTAAATGTTATAAAATAAGTTATTTATTATAATTTATAATATAATATGTTAATTTATATCGAAAATTCATAAATTTTTATGCGTATACTGTAGAAAACATTTGAAAATCGGTCCGGAAATAAATCAAAATATTCTATGAAGAATATTATATCTTAGTGATATATTTTGTTATAAATATAGAATATAATAATTTTATTAACATAAGAAGTATTTACCTTAGTTTTATTATACTTTTCTTCTTAAATTTGTACAAGGAAGGCCTAGTTTTCTGAATTACACTTACGTACAATAGTAAGAACGTAAGTAACAGTGTTATCGAACATATAATAAATATATTGTAGACACCAGTACCGAAAATCAACCACCAAGATTCATGTTTCCATCCGATAGTCTTTCGTGTCAATTCTGTTGTGAGTATAGCTAAAATTGGGAGACCTGCAACATATATATGAAGATTTGTATTATATTTATTAGAAAATAATTCATTCTCCTGCTCACTAATTCGAAAGATTAACTTAATAGATATGGTACTTAGGGTATATGTCTAGAATTTATTATTATTAAATTAATGAATAAATAGAAATCTACCAAAAACAACATTACATTCGGTAGTTTATATGGATAAAATTATAAATAAGTTATTATGTAAAAAATCATTATATAATATTAATATAATTAATATAATAATTCAAATTATTTCATTGGAAAGTTGGATAATCTTTTAATTAAATTTGAACGAGTCATACCAGTTATGACAGCTACGACAGTTGGTTGAAGCTGTTGACTTGGATGGATATTCGAGAGTTCGGTGTAAATAATTAGTGCCTGTGAAATTGGTGAAGATGTACCAATTAAAAGAAAAGCTTCGAGGCACATCGCCACGATGGATAAAGCATTCTGAAAGATTCGTTAATTTATATATTTTTTTTTTTAATTTCTTTAATAATATGAATGATGAAACGTTCTTAGTATAAGTATCATGATTATTCTGAAATATATTTGACATGGGAAATATTAAATATAATTTTTATTTCATAGTAGTTATATTATATATAGTCTTTATAATTTTTGTATTAATGAATTTTAAATATAAATTAATTAAATAGCAGGCATAAATAATAGGTAGGACTAATTTATGATGTTGAGATAAAACGCTCACAGATTTTTACTAAATTACTCTATATTCATCCAGAAATGTAAATTTTATAATTAATAAAATATATTATTCATCTCTCATTTATGAATCTGAACATATTTAAATTTAACGAAGGAATAGATAGTATTACTTAAATTATAAAAACTATATATAGAATAAAACGTTAAGTATTAGAAATTATCACGATAGTATTAATTATTTTAATAATTATTTATACAAATTTATTTCGATTATATTATTTTATTGTGATAAATATTGACAGTATTAATATTTCTATTAATTCCATAATATACAATTTGTAATTTATAGCTGCAAATAATTATGTGTAATTATATAGTAATTCCTTATTATAATTTGTCATGTCTTACTTAAAATTTAAATATTATAAAAATACTTACTCTATAATATAGCACTATTAAACGCAATGAAAAATTTGAAGTAAATTTATAAATCCCGCAACGTTTATTTATTTACAAAAATTTACAGTTGTTAAATTTCAATTTTACATTATTATATTTAAAAATAAATAAATTGGCAGCATTTATCTAATTCGAATATAAAATATAATTATTGTGTTTGGTTAATTAAAAATTGTTGATTTAAATTCTGTATAAATTAGCGAATTTTAATAATATTCAATTTGATTAAAAACATTATAAATTAAAAGTAATTGTATTAATCGTGATAATTTCTGCTTGTAAGTGAATCGGAAGAATAAATACCTCAGAAATTTTACTGTTCACGGCATAAATGAATGTTCCCATCGCAACAATGATAGCAGCGCAACATTCTATTTTTAAAAAATTTAACCATGTTCGATTTCTCCACCAAAATGCAGTTAATATTAAAATTGAAACTAAACATTGTAAAAGGCAGCTACTACAACCCAATATAACAACGAAATTTGTTTGATCATTTTTTATTAAAATAACCTGGAAATAAAAACATATTCAATATTGTATAACTATAATGTGCGTGATAGACATTTTAGCTGCGAGATAGATTTGTATTGATTAATACTAGTGTAATTGTACTATTTGTTAAAATTTCAAGATTTATTATCATTTATTTATATTTTAATAAATTATACTTTGAAATAAGTTAGTTTTGATACATAATTACGTATGTTTATAACATTTTAAAATATTTTTTATTTTATGTTGCAGGTAAAAAGTATAAGTTAATGACTATAGTATAATTATTAAAAATTATAATAACACAAAAAATTACATTTCTCTTAATACACAATGTATAATGCTCTTAATAAATAACTTGAATTTTAGTTATGATTATGATAATAAGTATGGTTTGAAGTAAAATTCTGCAAAAAATTGTTTTAAAATCCTTATTCAATATGTACTTTTATAGCCTATTAAATGTGGTAATTAATGGTTGAATGGTGTATTGAATTTGAAAGAACGAATTCCGTTTGGTATATATATATATATATATATATAGAATATCTAGTATTCACTGTCGGAACTTTACTTCATTCTCGAATAAATTTTCATTCATCGGATTTCCGATATACTCTACATATATCATCTATATTTTATTGGAAGTTCATGGCACTCAATTTAATTGCCTGGTATTAGTGGCAATAAGTTTTATCGGTAAATTTTAGTAATTAAATTTTTTAAAAAAGGTATTAATAAGTTAAATATCTTCTTAATCTTACATCTTAATCAACTCTTACTTAATATAATTGGCATTTCATTATACAAATTAAAATAAATATATATAATACATATATAATTTATTTTTATATTAAATAAAATTAGAATATAAATTTTTTTAATATTATTTGGGACCAGATATTATTTGTTACAAATATGAATAGATTAATAATTTACGTGAAGTTTTAAGTATATTTAGTGAACTACTTTAAAATTTATTTCTTTAAAAATTTTAACTTCAACCAGATGCAAATGAATTTAGAGTAACGTTTGTATTAAACAATTTAAAAACTAATTTATGTATATCTGTAATAAATGTAATTTATAATATTATAGTCTTTTGAAACTATAGCATGATATTAGAAACAAACTTATTGTTATTAGATATAATATTGTTATTAGAGCAAGTGATGCTTGATTATGCTTAAAAGTTATGCTTTAAATGTATTAATTTATACATGTACAGCTACTGAAAATATTTTGAAGTATTTTTTGGACTAATCAATATCAATTAATTTTTACACTAATAAAAATGAATATATTTTTTAGACATTACGGTATAAATAATAATGAATTTAATAATAAATTATATTATAATAAATTTATAATAATATTTATTATATTATAATATAAATTATATTATAATAAATATTATAATATAAAAATAAATAATATTATAATAAATTTTACTTTTTATTAAAGTTATAAGTATATCGATATCACCAAAAATCGTTTGGACTTACAATATTCAACGGATTTTCAAAAGTGATATTTCATATCTAATTTATCATCGTTTAATCATATTAAATAAAAATGTGCATATAATTGTGTTTTAAATAAAGATAATAAATCGAATTTTTTAAAATAAATTTTATTGCGTTTTATGCAAATTATTAAACGCATATTTTAAACATAAGTTTGTAAAGAGTACTCGATGTATTTTATGTACTATTTTGCTAAGTTATAAATAAAATTGATCTTAAATGCATATTACTGAAATAATAAAATTCAATAAAGCATTGAATTCAATTACTTACATAAATACTTTAATTGTAACTTAAAGAATATATGTAAATTCATTAGTATTAAAATAATAAATTAAATTTCACTTTCTTTCACTCTCTCTTTCTTAAAAGTAAAAATAATAATTATATTTTACACGTATAGGTTACGAAAACATTCGATTAATTACATATTGTATAGTTCTTGGATAGTAATATTTTATTCCTATTAAGCTTCAGCAGGTAATAACAATCATCGGTTCGTTTACCTTTTCGGGGCGCGTTGTAATGAAGGCGGCGTAGGTACCGGGACTCGAGCATAGACAATTGAGGACACTGGCCTTGAAGGGATTCTCCATGAGGGAGCAGCCTCCGAGCTTCCAGTTTCCGCTGGCACCGAGCACGCCGCAAGAGACGTTCCAAGCCTTAGGATGGTTGCGCGCTCCGGCGAACTCCAATTCGATCGAAAGGCGGTCGTCACGCTCGACGTCCCGATACGATGTTTTGACGCTAATTATGCGCGAGTTGATGCGATACTCCATATCGCTTCCATCACTGGAAATTTCAAGTTGGAAATGTTTATATACCAAAATATTAACTAGATAAGTTTGAATTATCTTGCACACATCGTATTTTCTTTAGTTTTCATGAATTTATTTGGTTGTTTTATTCGTCAGTAAAATGGTGTACTTTTGAACTAATATCAATGTATATTTCAGATAATAATTACTACAAACTTTTATTATACAATATTATATATGATATTATATTATATTATATTATACAATATTTATATATGAAAATATTATGTACTAATATTTTATAAATAATGTGTTTCTTATATATTGTTAAATTATATCTATAGGTCAGCTTCTGAACTCAACTAAGCAATAATTTAACATATACTCGAATAATTTAACATAATTCAAGAGTTTTCAATTATATTTGATATAACCATTTTTAAAAGAAATATAATTTTATCCTAAATTATATTCGGACGTTCGCTACAACATTATTTATTTGATGGGTCAGGATATTTTTAACAATAACTATTAAATTGAGCAAGAAATGATAATTTACTGATTCTTTTATTTCATCCTCAATGCAATCTTGAGATGAGTAGTAAATATATAGGTACTTTAGAATTGTTGGCTTGATAGTATGGATATGCAAGATTTTCATAATTGAATTATAATTTATAAATTTATAAATAATTTATCCTTACAGATTTTCATAAATGTAGAAAGATTATTTCGATATTATTCGTTTTATATTTTGTCGACTTTTAGATCGATTGTTAAAAACGAATATATAGATTCAATTAGACGATCCCAATAAACATCATTCATTTTAAATTCAATTTTATTTTATTCAAATTAAAATGTTCAGTTCATTTAATTTTATTTTATAATTTTATACAAATTACGGATGTAAGCATAATATTAATTTGTTAATTACCGTATTCCTAATAATATTGTAATTATTGATAGGGTTACAAGATTTTATAATATAAGATTATAAGGTATAAACAAATTTTATAAGATTTTATAATGTAAAATTAATTTAATATCGGAATACGAATATATATATATATATATATATATATATATATATATATAGACCGTTAATTGAAAGCTTTTACCGTTAAATGACTCTAAATAAGTACTTAAGAAACTTACATATTTAATTTCTTTTTGTATTTTATGAATACAACGTGACTTAAATTATATTTAGTTTCTTATATATGCTTATTTAATGTTATTTAATATTATTAAATATGTTAAATATAATTTAAGAGTATTTTATAATATTTTTTTATTTCCAATCAAAGTTCTTCTATATACATTTATACAGCATTTATACATTTATTTACAATATGTATTTTTAATATCTTTATTATATTCGATATAATCTCTAATACAAAATATTACTAGTTGTATACAATAATAAAAATATGTTTAAAATAATGATGTTTATCAAAAGAAATGTAATAAAAACTTAATACTTTTAATTAACTTCGTAAGAGTAAATAGTTTAGTTGAATTTCTACATAAATATAATTAATTTGTTCTTTGTTAAATTTATGAAACATTTATTAAAAACATGTATTAGAGGTAATTATATTTGTTTATAAAAGTTATATTTTTATTTTGTTATACTTTTCCCTACCCCCAAAATCCTTTTCTAGGTTTTATAAAATATATTAGAGTATTTCTGAGATACATATAAATAAATTTATTGACGATGCAAAGTGCACTTTAAAATCCTTTGTTACAAGTTTTATGCTTTTATAAAACTTGTATAGGTTTAACATGAAATTTTATTATTATGCACATGCATATTAATACGTTAGATTGTTTTAATATTCTCAGATAGTTGATGATATAATACGTATCCATATTTACATTGAAATTCTACAGTTGAATTTTTTATTCATCCACTTACTTTCAATATACACGAAAAAACGGCCATACTTCCTACATTAAAAAAAAATGACGATTCCCTATTATTTAAAATAGAGATTATTATGAAATTTTTTCATTTATATTTAAAAAAAAATTTGTTAACATATTAACAAAATATTTAATTACTTACTCTAGTTCTATAATATACGTATCAGGAAAGAATTGTGTTAAATTTCGATATACAATGACAATCCCCGAGATGGATTTATTGACGTTTTGTAGTTTATTATGATATAATCGAATCGTCACTCTTTCGTTATACCAATCAGGATATTTGCTTAAACAAAATTAATATTATATATTATATATTATCAGAGAACAAATTATTTAATTATAAGCAATAAATATATTGTAAATTAATTAGAGGCATTCAATCTCGTACATTTTATTTAATTCTGAATTTCAGATAAATTTAATTATACTTAAAACTTACTTTTGATTATCTTGAGGGATATTTAAACTATACATAATAGTTGAATCAGCGTATACTTTCATTGGAAGAATATTAACAACTATTTCAGACAGTGATAAGTGTTTTTGATTTTGTGCATTGTTCTGGCTCCAATACCCAAGATTACGTAAAATTAGTTGACTTAATAAGGCCAGATTCTAAAAATGAAGATGGAACATAAAAATACATCTTCTTTACTATTTTTATAAATAAGCAAGACAAATACAAATATTTCTATTGTCCATTTTAATTCCATAATAATGATATAAAGACTCGATGGAAGTGGTATTATTACTAATGAAAATAGTAATAATAGTTATAGTGATAGTCATAGTAATATTTACAAGTAACAGAAATATAGTAGTTGCTGTAATAGCAATAATAGCAGTAGTAGTGATATTAGTAGTATTAATAGTAATAGTATTAGTATTAGTATTAGTAAGTTAAGCAAGAATTTAATAACAATAAATCAGTACATTATATATTTTATGTTTTATTATATATATATATATATATATATATTAAGTTAAGAAAGTTTTTAATTCTAAATAAATTTTGAAATATAATAAATATTTATTTTAGTAACCAAATCTTTTTAATAATCATATAGAAAACTATTGCTAACCTACCAAGCTATCTTAATTAAATATACATACAAAACAAAATTAATAAATCAATCTATATACAAAGAAGTGTAAAAATAGATTAAAGTATGAATTTCAATTACTTGTTGATTAAGAATCGAATAGTCGTTGCCCAAGATTCTATCGCTGATTTTTATTATAGCATCGGCCGAATTTGTCATGTCCTCCAATTCATTAACGTTGTATTGATAGTGTTGAATTTCTTGTAGTATAGCAATTATTCGGTCCCCTTCCCCGGGATATAGAGGCGATGTACGATACTGCAGTATATCCCAAAATGCTTGAATTGTCGATGAACTATTTGTACTTTCATATCCAAGTGTTAGACTTTGAAACTAGAATTTATAAAAACAAACCCACATTCTAATTTATCTTCAAATTTTTCATTTGTAAACCTGGGTGTAAAAAATAACAACCAATCTTAATTTTTTGAAATATCAATTAATTGGAGGGCAAACTAAAATGAATACATATTTAGAAAATTAACATTGAATTATTATACATTCAGAATACATTTTTTTTTAAATGTATTAAAAGTTTTGAAAATATAATTTTCCTTAAAATATTGATAAACTAAAAATTGAAAAACGAAATTCAAAATATTACATTTTTGTTTTTGTAGTAATCCATCTTATTTACTCTTATATATATATATATCATTGCGAAGGAATCAGAATTCACACTCTCCTATCAAAAGTGAATTCAGCTCATCAATAATGTATTTGTTAATAAACCATATGCTAGCGAAGTCTGCACTCACTGTATATATCTAGCCCTTCCCCTTAACTCCTTCCCAAGCAACCGCTAGGACAGGTAGCGAATTATTATAAAGCTATCGAAACATTGGCAGATCGAGCCAGAAAATCAAACAGTTTCGAACATTTAGTCTTCTCTTTAGTCGAACAAGTATATAATAATCCAATACATGATAGAATAATATTTCTATTTTTATTAATTTTTCTTTAATAAAAAAAAAAATATTTTATAGAAAATAAGAATTTAATAGAATTCCAGAATTTTATGTATTTAATAAGTTATGTAGTATTAGTAATATTAAAAGCCTAATTTTTAATATTAAATAAAGCATACGACTTTAATATTGTTTGTCAAATACTTATGAATTTGGAAAATGTATTGAATTTCATACTCTTTAAGAAATAAATTTGCAATAAGAAAGGGACTTTTATATCAACTTATTTTTTGATATAATAAAGTTGATCCGTTTATTATGCATTATTCAAAATAATAAAATGTTTAAGATATTAAACTATGATATATTATAAGAAAACTACTATTTTTGCTGTTTGGATATTTATTTCATTTTATGAATAATAACTAATATAAAATTTTGTTACTTAATCCTTTTGAAATTATTCTAGATAATCACAAATTCTTTGTTTTTCATTATATATTATACTATTTTTTTTAAACTAAGAATATTATTTTGTAAGTAGAACGATAATCTTTCATTTGTAAAAAAAAAATAATTTTACCAAGAGGTAATTAAGCATAATAGATACCTACTAACAACATTGTAAAATATTTATAGGGACATAGTAACATGCTCACATTATTGTACGGGTGAAGGAAAGGTTCATAGAGGCAGTCTGAAAAATCTGGAATTTCCCACTCGGAATTAGCTGCATCTTTCATTGTGCACTGTCTGCTTGCATGCCTACCGACAAAACCTATGGGACACTGCAATAGGGATTTTAAGCCTGGGGCGGTATCGCGCCAATTGAGATTCCAGTTGATATCGTCAGGGCAGACAGGGATGAGGGTGCGGTTGACAACTTCAACTCGTACCGAACTTGAATGGTGAGCCACATTGCATGTATATACAGCAGACTTTTGAGCGTGAATAATAGTAAGGATGCTGCCGGCTGGATATAAGTCCTCCCAGACTTCTTGACCGGGTTCTAATTTCAAAAGGGCGCGATTCTTTGTCCAACCAAAGCCGATTCCAACATTACGCATGTTTGGCGTTGTGCATACTAATCTTATTGTCGTACCCTGTACGGAAAAGTTTTCTATAAGGTTTCATCATACAAATCCGATTGTTATTAATATTTACACTAAAAAAATTTTAATAGTGAAAAAAGAAGTTAAATGTCTCTAAAAGCCGAATGAAATATACAGACGACTTTAATTAAGTGAAAATAGTGATAGATTAAGAAGAATATTAATCTCTTTCGAAAATAGATATTATAATGATCGAGTTATTCTTCTTACTAAGTTCATATACATATATACTCCATTTGAAAAGGTATTTTCATTATCAGAATTAATAAATGAAAAGAATGTTAATAATTCTTACAAAATTAAAATTTCTTTATTCATATTTTCTCTTATATAAACTAAATAATTTAACCATAGTTTTTATAATATAATAAATGATCGTTAAATATTTGTAATTTTAATTGTATAGTGTTATTAAAAATGAAGAAAATAAGAAATATCCTATTAATAAATTTTGAAAACTGTTCAACTTACATGTCTAATTATTTTATACTTTAGTATCAACTGATTTCATTTATCTTGTCTTGCATTGTGATTCATAATTGCGGAGAAAAATCAGATAAAAAGCAACAAAAAATTGCTGTATATATTTTATTTTATATATTTAATAATGTATTATAGATTGAATATTCGAAATCAACAGTATTTCAAAGTTTGTATATTGTGAGAAATATATGAAAGAAGAGTAATTATTGATCTATGTCTGAATAAAAACAATAAATGAATTGGCTAAAAATAAAAATGTATTAAGTAGCGCAACATGTTATAGGATCTTCATAATATATCGCAATTGAAAAGACATGCATGCATATATTTGAATAACACAAACTCAGAATATCATGAGGTCAATCATGTCTATTATCATAGATTTGTATTGTGTAACACCTAGGACATACTACTATACGTTAAATATAATTGGAATATCTAAACAATGATTTGATATATTTTTTTATCAAATTAATATAAGGACTCAAAAGAGATATCGCTCAATGTTTTTAAAAATTTTAGATTTAAAATATTTTCTTAATTTTTCCTACATTAAATTACAAAGTAAATTATTGTTGTAAGTCAATAAAAAAATTAATTGTAATTACCATTAACACATTACTTTGATATCACTTCATTCGAATGTATTTATAAAATTTGTTTACTTTAATGAAGCCTTCTAATTCAATTTTCATCGATATGTAATGGATTTTCGATTGTCAAATTAGTATATGAATAATTTAAAATAAATTGATATTTAAAACTATTCTACAAAAGACTTTATTATTTCATTAATTATTGTGTTTTAATTTTATACATAACAACTACTAAATATATTAACAGAATATTTATAATAATTGAGTTTTTTCCTTTTTATATAAATTTTAACATTAATGAGTTTAATTTTAATATATCTAGTCGTGAAACTATTATATTTGTAAAAAATTTGTTACTTATAATATTTATGCTAATAATTTATTCATTGTAGAATAAGTCGTCTTGTTGATGACGCATAATCATTTAACTTTCAAAAATATGTAAATAGTATTTTGTGATATATAAAAAATCATTTAATCTTGGGGGAACTTGTATATATAAAATTATAATTTTCCAGATTTAAATAATAAACAATATGTGACAGAAATTGACGAACATCTATATAATTATTAAGAATATAATTAAATAATTTATTATTCAAATATAAATTGAAAAAATGATTTGATATTTCCAAAAAATAAAATATTCCTATATTATTGTATAATTTATTTATCAAAAATTATTCTCATTTATTTTTAAGAAAAAAAATTTTATATTTATCATTAACGAGTCATTGAAAATAATAATTTTATACAGCAATTATAAAGATACTAAGTGTACACATACTATTTTTAATATGAAAAATATTAATAATGACAATTGTAATAGCTTGTAGAAGGTGAAGTTGCAGCACTTGAACTATTTTTAGTTTGCAACAGATATTTTTCTAAAAAATTCATTTTAATTTCCAGTAGCATGTCCTAGAAATAAAAGATGATCCCTTGTTTTATTTTTAGTAGTAGTCATATTCAGTTTAGTTACTTTTAATATTAACAGTTACATGCATAGATTTGTAGATTGACGCTTATTCTTACCAAGCTTTCTTTGTATGAAGTTGTAAATGAATTAAAATGATTGAAAGATGGCCGTTTTATGCTCACTTTGAACTTTCGATTTAAAACAATATTGATAATTTTAATTTTTTTTAAGAATATTAATTTTACATTTTTGTATTTATTAACGTTAAGTATGGAAGACAATGAAACAGTTTAGAGATATCCAATGAGTATATCAACTTTGAAAATAGGGCAGAATCAGATTTTAATTACTTCAATAATAATGTTTAATGTAAATATTATATATTTTCATACAGTTCGTGTTTAATTTAAAAGATAAGAAAGATAATTACGTAAAAAAAATTATGAAAAAATATCATTTATACAAAATTTAATATTTTTAAAAATATTTGTAAAAGTATTTATTAAAAAAAAAATAATTAAATTAAAATTTTATATATTAAAATTGAAAATAAAATGTATTATTCCGTGAGTTAAAAAAATGATACAATAATTATTCGATTTTCATTAATTTTTTTTATATCTAATTGATCAAAAAACATGAATTAGTGTAATATATAATTTAAAGTACATTAAAAAAAAATTACATTAGTTGATATTTGAAAAAAGCTGAAATTATATATACAAAACATAAAAATTGAAATAAAAGCATAATAGTCGTATGGAATAAAAATAATGAGAGATTACTGTTTGAGCATCGACAAATAATATTTTATTAATAATGGTATTTGAAACAAATGTTTATTGAGTAATTTTTTTGAATAGTTATACATACTTTATCGACTGTAATTCCCATAGGTATCACCTCGACATTAGGGTCATCTTTAATATCGATCTGTATACTTTTGCACTGTTGCATACCCCAATCGACTACCTGACAGGTATACACACCCTTATCTAAAAGCATGGCTTTATCGACAGATAGTATTGATGTGTGATAATCAGAGCCGTCAGTTGGTAGATGCCGATACCAGATTTTTCTGTAGAAAAACAATTTTATATACTACTTATATATTATAGTTAATGCCAATAATAATAATAATAATAATAATAATAATGATAATGATAATGATAATGATAATGATAATAATAATAATCGCAACAACAATAATAATAATATTTACAATAATATTGTAGGTGTTAATAATGAAAGGTTATTCGTATTTTAAAAAATATTTTAATTGTTCCGCAGATCTACATTTTGATTTATCTGAAAAAATGGATCCAACTTTTTTCGTAACGATGGGTTGCAAGAAAATTTCTGACAAGGATACATTCTACAGACAATAGTATTTATTAGAAGATATCTGCTGAAATAATTAATAAAATGATGTAATGAATTAAAAAGAGTTATAATACAATTATAATTCTAGAAAAAACAATTCAAAATAATTTTAAATACATATGTACACACGCGCGCGCGCACACACACGCACACACAGACACACATATAAATATATATATACGCACGCACGCAAACACCGAAATTATTTAGTCCAACTGTGTTATAGACCAGAAATAAGGTTAATTATAAGGCTCACTAGCCCATCTATTTAATTCAAAATCAAGGCAGAAAATGCAATTAATATCAAGAATGTAACTACGTGAAAATTATTTATGAAAATGTTTTTTATACAATTTTTATTAACATTGAATTCTTAAAGTACAACTAACGATTATACTAATATTTACACTACGTTTTATAATTCTAGTTGTAAATTTATAATTTTCTTTGTATGTTTTTCTAGTACTCAATGTCTTAAAAATAATTATTGAAAATTTAAATTTAAATTCGAAAAATCAACATGTAGACAAGATCTTGAAATAATTGTTTTGTATAGTAAGGCTTTTGCCCTACTGCTTATATTTACTATTAAAATAAATTGTTGTGAGTATGATATAAATTAAATGTATTTTGAACAAAATTTGTATGAAAATGCATTACAAATACTTTGTAATTAAAAATTTTTTAAATCGACAATTTTTTAAATCATTCATTTCTTATATTTAGCCATATTATTATGTTTTTTTTTTAATTTCTCTAAAACAACTCATACTAAAACTGTTATTTGTAAATTTAATTCTATACATCCTTAATGTGACGATTACTGTTTCTTCAGTCAGTTCAATTATTTATTCTCTAACTTTTTAGAAATAAAAATAAAATAATATAAGATTTATAAATTATCCTTTGTATGAGAATTTTTTAGACAAAAAAATCATTAAATAGTAAAATTTAATTCTATCATTGAAAGAATAATATGGTTCTAATTAATAAAATAAGTACTTTGAAATGTATTAAAAGTTTTCATAGTCTAGAGTATAACGTATTTATGTTTCTCCGTTACTTCTAAAAGTAATTTGCTTTTAAACAGATTATTTTCCTTTTTATTTTATTTTTAAAAAATTCAAAATATGTCATTTTGAATAGTATTTATTAGAAAACTATTTTCGAAGTCTTACCTTTTTCAATAATTTTACTATTCACTTTTATATATATATATATATATATATATATATATATATATATATATATATATATATATACGATGATTTAGAAAAATAATTGGTTTGATCAAATTTTTTAATAATTATTTATATATGTAAATTGATAGACATGATCTAAATATAACATTTTCATATAATGTTTTTAAAATATTCTAATATTAACCAAATCGATTATTAGGTTTAAATTTTTAAATACTGATAGATAATATTTGTCAATCTATATAGTTAAATGGTATAATATTGTTAGCAATACATAAGTTAATAAATTAATAAAAAAAGTTTGTATGTTTAATTTCATATATAAATGTAAAATAATGGTATTAACGGTAGTATTTATTGATCTTTTAAAAACTCTTATATTTTTTGACAAGTAAATATCTCTCAAATATTGTTAGATTCTTTAAAAATATTTAATCTTTCGTGCTTGTTTTTCATAGTAACGTCTTTATGTATTTATTTGCTAAATATATCTCTATAGTCTTTATATTATTTAAAAAAACATAAACTTTAAATTATTTTACTTATAATTTGAATTCATTTTTTATTAGTTTTCATTTTTTGTCAAGTTTTATTACAATTTTTTATTTATTTAATTACAGTGCTTTTGAATACAGTATTTATCATAATTTTTTTATCTTCCACTTTCTTGTTTATGTTATATTCTATTATTTTATTTTCTTAATTCATATTTATATTTTATACTACATATTAGATTGAAATTTAATCTTATTATTCTTTTTAAAACATTTAATATTTTCACAAACATGTAATTATGATTATGGAGAAAAATACAATTAATAAAATGACAATAGAATTTAATATATTATGTTTTTTATATAATACATAAATAAATATTGATATTTTCTTTATGGTAAATATTAAAATGTTATATTAATAACATAAAAGTATGTTTTTGGCATACATAAAATGACATTTTATTAAACATAAATAATAATATAGTATAATATAATTAAATATTAAATAGACAATGCATTTATTTAATGAAATTTTATACAATAGTGTAAAATAAATATTATTTGAGATTATTTGTAAATTTTATTTTATAGAAGTATTTCAATTTTTTTTAGTTATTTCCCGATTATTTAAAATCGTCTTAATTGTATTCTTATTATTACAATGTTCAAATCTTGTAATAATATTTTAATATTAATTTATTTCAGAACGTTTATAAAATTTATATAAATACTTATTTACTTCATTGATAATTAAGATTAAGAAAATTTATTGACGATTATTAACAAATTTTTTATCGATAAAATTAAAAAGCTAAAAACAAGAACAATACAAATATCATTAGAAGTGATGTACTACCATTTAAATGGTTTGAAGTAATAAAATATATTACCTGGTTGCTTTAGTCACATTTACAAGCATATTATCTTTGTACCAAAAAAATTTCAAGTCGGAACTTCCCACAGCTACGCAGGTAACAATAAATTGATCACCCAGCTGAACTTGATGTTCGTTCACTTGATTGATTCTTAAACTCTAAACAAATTAAATTTAAATTTAGTATTATTTTAATTTTAATTTTTTTCAAATTCGAGAAATGAATTAAAATTAAAATAATAGAATTTACATGTTTAATGTTTCATGCATGTACTTGCTATTATTTAATTTAAATATTAGAACACAATATAAAATAAATTCCTAATTTATATCATTTCAGCCTTAAATTAGAGCCTATTTTAGGTTTCACTATTTAATATAAAATATTTTGTTACCTTAAGTTAGTTAATGGTGTGCAAAGTATTAATAGCACAAAAAATTAGGGAGACAAAAAAATTACAGGCACTCATTTAACACCCTCGTAATATATATGATGAACACAATTGAGGAACAAGCTCATAGCTCAAAGTAATTATTCTTTATATATATAATAAATTAAATTTCATAAAATATCCTCAAAGGTAAAAGTAAATTATATTGCAAAGTAATATCAAATATATAAAATTAGTAAAAATTTACATTTTTATTTATTATTATTTAACAATAGTTATTAATAGGAACAGATATAATATTATAATTATTTGTTTGTTTACGCATATAAAATGATTATACATAAAAGATGAATTTTTTAGCTGTAAGAATTAAATCAAGATTTATGGGATAGTTAATAATCCATACTAAAAATTTAAAATCTTTAGTTGTGGAATAGAATAAATCCCTATTTTTATAAATGAATAATTTAATTTGTATATATATTAACAATTATCGAATTAAATTAAATTCTTTACTTTTTTTGAGAATTAAAATAATAATAATAATAATAATAATAAATAATATTGTAATAATAGTCATTAATGCAATATTGTGTATGGATGATATTTACAATGTAGTAGATTTATTATAAATACGTACATCATCTTCATAGTTTCCATGAATTATAAAATCAATTATAAATTAAATGGAAAGACTAAAAGATATACGGAATTTGGGTCACAATCTTATAACATCAGTAAGTAAAAAGACACATGAGGAAAGTCCTATTTAATATAGATCAATCTCGAATGTGATATCACGTTCAAAAAATGAATTATAACTTAAATTTAAGTGTTATATATTTAGAACAGTATATATATATATATATTCTTATATATATATAAGATAGATTTAGATTAAGATAGATAGATAAAGATTTATTAAATATAGAATATATATATATTCTTATATATATATATATATATATATATATATAAGAAAATAGAAAAAATTGAGTCTTATCATCACTTGACATTCGTCGAAATTAAGAAGAAAGGTAGATATTTATGATCTGAATAGAAATTATGAAGTACACGTAAATTTTATATACGCATTTTTGTTGTAATAAAGTTAAACTATCATTTTTTGTAAATATTACATGTTGCTTTTGCTATTTATTTGTATAAATTGTATTTTATTTATACAATTGAAAAGAATATTAAAGTTATTATGCAAGTGAAACAAAGTGTCGAGAAAAATTAGTTATGGTTAATTGTTTAATATGTATTTGTAAGAACTTTCTTATTACAATTTAAAATAATACAATTTTCATAATAATTGGATATATTAAAAAATAAATACTATTTATTTCTATGATCCTCTGTATAAATATTGTACACCTTAAATCTGAAAAAATGAATGAGTTAGATATTTTTGTTTTAAAATTTAACCTTCCATTTCAAATTATTATAAAAATTTTATAATTTTCGCGTTAGAAGCATTTCATTCAAATGGCAAGAAATACTGATTTATAGAATGAAATATTTAATATATGCGCATTGTTGGTATTAAATAACGTTTTCATATACTTTGTTTTCGTCCAACTTTTCGCAGTTCGTAGCATAACCTTCAACGAGAGGATATGTCCGGGACTTTGTAATCCAAACTAGTGTCTTAGTATAATCCATTTATAGTTATGATGGACTTGGTCCTTCTGATAAGGTATCCAGAATGAATTATGGTATTTATAATTTTCAGAACTTCAAAAACTTTTTCAGTATCATGCTAATGATTCTTAGAGTCGAATATTCTAACTTCAATTTGTGTCTTTTTCGATGTAATAAAATTCAATAATTTTTATTTGAACAGATAGGACAAAAGGATGAATAATTATCTTTGTTTTTGTTTTCTCTACTAGGTAAATTAAATATTTAATATTTATACGATCGATTACTCTTGATAATATTATACTTCAGCATAGACTGAAAAATATGCAGCTTTTTGTCATTGTGCCATACGTATTCTACAAGTTTTACACATTTTTAATTATACTGTTCTACAATTTGCTTTGCAGACTTAAAAATTTATTAACAATATTTATAATTGATATTGATAGTACATAGTTTATTAGTAATAAATTTCTGTATCTTAATCTGAAAAATTCTATCTTATTTTGGAAAATATAAAAAATTCTAGAATTAATACGATATTAAAAGTATCGAAACCTGTAAAATTATAGTGTCTAGCTGAATTCATGCTCTGTTACAGGTATGCATATTGATTTGAGAGTAAAAATTATTATATTGTGTTAAAAACTCAATTTCTTATAATTGAGAAAATTCAATCTCTATATGTCAGAGTTTGAGGCTTTAACCTCAATCCTAATTGTTGAGCACTTTTTAAAATTATGTACTTTCTCAAATATTTATTTTATGATATGATTTGGCATAATGCTATTGTTGCATATAGTTTTAATTCGACTCAATTGCCTAGATTTAGCAATTCATAATTAGGCATTTAATCAAATTTTTGTAAAATTACTCGAAAATAATGTAATATTAATTTCAATCTTTACAATTTTCATATTGCTCACATTCGTTAATCGAATAAAAAAAAAATGTAAATTAAAAAGAAATTTTCGTAAAAGCTGAACGTAAATACAATATAAAAGATTAAATAATTATATTAGAATATAATATTATATATAAAATATAATATAATATAAAGAAAAATATAATAAAATATAATATAAAAATTATATTAGAATACTCGTTTAATAATAAGAATTTATAAAAATTATTATAAATTGTTCTAAAATGAATAATTTAATCACTTCAACTTATGATACCTTAACATATAATATTTTTATATGTAGTAATTAAAATAAATTATTTTTCAAAAAATCAATGATTATAATAAATACCACTTTTTAAATTTTTTACTGTGAAATCCTATAATATGTGTATAGTTGTTAAATGTATTGTTACAAATAAATATTATACAAATTCTCTTAGTTATATTATATTGTTTATATTATTTATATATTTCATATATTTGATATATTTCAACTTTTTGATGAATCATTTTTTGTTTTATTATCTTTAAAGATTATTATTTCAAAGACTAATTTTGAAAGTATTTATATTTTTGTCTATAAATTATATCTATAATTATGAGAAAAAAAATTTACTATTATCCAGCTTATAATTTCTTCCATATCAACAAATGCTAGTTGCTTTAAATTTCATTTTTTAATATATGTTTAGCTTTAATAAATGTAATGAAATTTCATTGCACCGTATATGTATAATAAAAATATAAATAAGCTTATTTAAAATCGACTTAAAAATGTTGTCATGACATTTTTTACCAAGTTCATCTTTTTAAATATTGTCTAAAGTGATAAATTGAAAATTACCTGCAATCGAAGTGCTGGCTTCTGTTGAAAGGTGAAATGTGACGGTTCAAGAAAAAACTGGCCTAGACGTCGGCGGTGTACCAATTTATTGAAGGCACTTCGAATTTTGTCCCCGTCACGCGAATCACCAAAGAAGTGAAAATTCACCTCCAACGCTGGTCTGTCGATACAGAGATTGTAATTTTTAATGGAATTGGATATATGATTTGTCAATTTAGTTGTAGTAAAAAACATTTTATTTAAACTAGTCAGCGTTATGCATATTTGAGTTTTGCTAATATGCTCTATAGAATTTTTTATCTAATAGCATAAGAATTTAGCAACAAATTGAAAGAGTTTACTATTTTTTATGAAAAAAATTTTAATTTATAATCATATAGAAAGAGATTATAATGAAAACTACTTTAGTTTATTTAAATATTATGATGAATTCTTTGCTTTTATTAAAACAATACATTTAATATATAGATTTACTCTTTAATTTAATTTGTAAGTTATAATAAAAATTAATATATGTATATAAAAAGTAATTATAAATAATTGCTTTTACTTACATAATTAATTTTGAATGTACATATAATTTTCATTCCATTAATTACATACATCGAGATTAACAATTTAGTCGTACTGCTTCAATATTCATGTAAATTAAACATAACTGTTTAATTATGTACAATTTATTTGATAAATTTAGTTATTTAAAAAAATAACAGCTTTTTAATGTATAACAATGTATAACAATGTATAGCAACCTTTTTATATGAATAAAATGCATAAAAACACATTTTATTGAAAAAAATATTATGCTTGTAAATCATTTATATATATGCTATATTACTAATTTTTTTATTTATATAAACAAGATTACACCTCCATATTTACAAGCAAAGAATTTTCCAGTCATTTATACCTACTCACGTCATACTCAAGATTTTCAGTTCCTCCAACGATGAAATATTTGATTCCCAAATGTATTTTGCAAGCTATGAAAACAAAATATAATTTTATATCTGATAGTATGTGGATGCTTTTAATAAATTTTAAGGAGAATTTATGAATATTAAATGAAACTGTAAGACTTTTTTCCATATTACAATTCGTTAATTTTTCTATTAAAGACATTCTAATATATATATATATATATATAAGTAAATTGAGAGTGCATTATTTCATTAAAATAAATGATTCGAAAATAATAATAAATTTAGTTGTTATATATATAAACCAAATCCATAAACAGAATAGAATTTATAAAATTAATAAATAAATAGAAGTTTGTTTTTCAAATTTAAATGTTTTGTTTCTATTATAAAATCTTATTCTTCATTTTTTATAAGTCGGATAAATTTTTATCAAAGCATCTAAAATAAAACAAAAATTTTTTTAAACTAGTAAGTGTAGCAAAAAATACTGCCGAGGAAGTTTTTTGCATTACTATGCACATTATGAAATTTTATAAAAGATTTGTGTTTTATAAAATATTTTATTACTTAAAGCATGCAAGACATTATATTTTTGAATATTAAACATTATAATGTTATATTATAGTAAAAATATTTAATATATATTTATTTGTTAAATGTATATTAAGCAACCAATAGTTGTAATTTTTTTTTAAATGTCAATGGTTTTAAAAAATTAGTCAATTAATGAATATTATTGTGATATATTACAATGCTGCTACAAATTTATTAGAGTTTAGCACTGATTCAATTTTAGGATTCATCTTATGTTTTCGTTGTAAAACGAGAAAGGTCTAAAAAAGATGTTTATCGCTTTAGCAATTAATTTTTAATCTTCTATCAATAAAAAGAATTAATCATGTGATTATTAATATCGCATGCACCACTTTTTTAATAGACATAAATTTAACACAAATTAAACATCTATATACGTAAGAAATATAATATAATTATTATAGTAATCAAAATATTTGATATATTATATATTATAAATGATATATATTACATATTTTAAGTATGTACATATATACATATAATAATAATAATAATAATAATAATAATAATAATAATAATAGATAAAATGGCAACTTAAGTACTGAAGTCTTTATATTACTATATAGTTAGACATTATTATTTAATATATATATATATTATATATATATTAAACCCATTTTATTTAATTATTTAACTTTATATTTCAGTATTGATAATACAATAAAATTAATAAATATAATTATTACATTTATTTAATAATTTTTGCAGTGCAGTTTTTGTAGAATGTATATGGTTGTGTTTGATGTCAATTAAAATCAACAAGCTGCTATGGAAATATTTTTATCTTTATTTTTTATATTTTTATAATATTTAATACAATATATACCGTAATCATATATACAATGTAAAGAATGCTGATTTTATTAATGTACTAAATAGTATAGCCCCCGCTCTTGTTGTAGCATAAAGCTGTAATCCGATTTCTCAGTGGCAGATCTTAAGTAGAGCCGGGTCGTCCCTGCTCTCAAGAAGTACTAAACACAAACTGTGTTCGTGCTATTTCACATCAGGACTAAAATCTGTGAGGGTGTGCAACTTTGGCAGAATGTCTGTTTCTCTGTTATCTGTTTCTTTCAGGCGCATTTGTCACGAACGAGTTGAGTCGTACTGTTTTTACAACTTTTTTAAGCATAGATTATTTTATTATATGTGACTATTACAACTGCAAAAATATATGAGAGTATTTTTTGGAGTGAAAACGTATACTTTCTGACATGAAGCTGTAAAATTTTAAATAAGGTATAATTTTTACAAAGTTTAAAAATGTTTTAATTCGGTACATCCTATTTTTTATTAAAAATAAGTCATTAAAATTCTAAAAGTGAATGCATAAAGTGGAGTTTTAAATGACTACAGCATTTAGCCTTTGTGATTCGAGTGATAAGCTGTTTTAATTATTTTGTTCAATGCAATTTTTAAAAGAAGATTAATATTCATTTCAAATGCATTTACTTGAATTATTAATGTTTTTGAAGCATACAAAATCAGAGACTACATGATAAAATCGTAATAATTGAATTAAAAAGAAAACTAAATAGAAGTATTCATATATTGTATATTTGTGTAAAATCGTTAAATTCGTTTTTAAAACTGAAATCATTTATGTCATATAAATTAATTTTTTGTTTTGTTATGTTTCGTTATTATCCAAATTCAAGCAAATTCTTGTTAATCAACAAAATTCTTGTTTTCCAAAAACGATATTGATAATGTAAAATTAATTATAAAGTATTATTACATATATATTACTAATTTAAATTTAAATATTATTGTAATAAATATTACTTATATTTCAACTATTTTTATTTATCAAATAAATTGTTTGTTCAAAAAAATTTAATTCGTTTCATCGTTAAAATGAATAATATAATGAAATTTAATTTTTATTCTTATTTTTATATAAAAAAATCTATCATTTACTTCGAATATATTGCAATGTAAATTTTTATAATTTTACAAAACATTACATAATGTAACGATAGGTGTAATTTTACTTATGAATTGACTTTTACATCGGTACTAGAGCTTAATTATTAAATATCATCCTGCATAATTTGTTACAAATATAAAATCAATAAATTATAATATTTTAAGAAAACAATTTTTCACAGATATTTTGAATATATTTTCAATAGTGCCATATAAAAATTGTTTAAATATTTTCAAAATATTTGCTAATAAAAACAGTTTTTTTTAAATATGATCAAGTGTAAGAGAAAAAATAAAGATTAAATAGATGTTAGAATTTCACGAGTTCAAAATTATTTGGATTTTAATAACAAGTAATTAAAAACTTACTTTAATATTTCATATTTTTTTCATTCCAATTTTCTTTTATAATTGATGAACACATTTAAATTTGCGAATACACATAGAAAGAGAATAATTGTAAAATAATTTATATCACGCCTATTGATAAATTTAACTTTTATATTTTTACAATTTAATTTTTTTTTTTTTTTTTGATTAATAATGATATTCATTTGATTTTAACAGTTACATTTTAATATTTATTTTTACCATTTAGTAGCTAGTGATTTTCTATTACGCGTGTTAATTTTTTTATGTTACAAATAAAACAATAATTCTAAATGCTTAAACGTATAAATTAATTAAAGAGAATTCTCATTAGTTTTATCCAAATAACATTACATAGCTTTATCAATATTTTTAAGTTTTTTCAATTCGCAAATTCTTAATTATTGTTTAAGGAGTCTAATTGATTTATCTAATTAAAATTTATTTGTAGACTTTAGATATTACAATAACTTTAGAGCAATAATTTTAAATAATATGCGTTCTGAAAATATCAAAATTGTAACTAAAATATATTTAAATATACTTCATATTTACGCAGAATTAAAAATGAAAATAAACATTATTTGTCTAATATTACCCTCTTTCCCAGTCATAAATTTTGCAGTACAATGCTATTACGAAATAAAGAATTTGAATTATTTACGAGTCGCAGTTTCGACATAAGTATGCTTGAATATTATTTATATAAAGAATCAAAAGAAAAAAAAAAGGCTGTACAATGATAAATTTGACTTCTAAACGTTCTTTAAAAATATTATATACTGGATTTATATGCCTTCATAATATGGTAAATAAATGTGTGAAGCAAAGATTGAGAAAAACATTTGCATCGTAAATGCAAAAACTGCAGTTTCTACACGCGATAATTGAAAGCAGTCATTTTTCGGAACAAGTATGAGTTATTTTCATTACAAATCATTGCTCATCTGATCTGATTATTTGCGGTGTTATTGGTATGCAATTATTGCCTAGGCCTGGATACTTCTCTTAATAGACCATTAAGAAAATTTGTCTTGAAGGCAAGTCTAATATTTCTTCTTAACGCTATCTGCTCGCTAGTGCTTTATAACTCTTACCTGTCAACGTTTTTCATTTGAGCTACTTCGACCTCATAAAAGAGTTTCAGCACTCACAAAGTAGTGTCCAAACCACAAACAAAATTCTCTGTCTTCGTATATCTAATTTATTTCTTTTTCTTCTACTATTACTGTCTCTTGTTTGAACAGAAAAAAAATGTAAGGAATTCGAAGCAGGCTGGCAGTCGGGGAATGATACAGGTTGGTACTGCAATCTGTTTTTATTTCTTCTTTTTCGCTCACAGTATATCCGTATCGCATGAACCGTATATAATGCACACTTTTTCCTCCATTCGTCTGTATTTCTGTTCATTGGCCACTCTCGATTTCTTCGTTTTTTTTTTTTTCACCCAAGAGTTATTTTAAGAATACAAGGCATATTACATGTAGTATTTACATAGCGTCAAGCGCATAATTTGTAAACACAGATAATAACGTATAATCGTAAAGGCGTATACGTAAATGGCAACTGTTAGAAGATCAAGGCATTGTTGCATGGAGGATCGGCTGATCTAATATCGTTAGCGCTTAGCAGACTTTTTCTTTTCATGGACTAACAAGTGCGCACTTAATACTAACGAGAAAAAATAGAGTGGTCGCGATGTTTACCCGGACGCGCACTGATGTATTGTTTGGAAGTAGGACCACCACCGCCTCTTATTGACTTCTATGCAACATCATGGCAAGCGTTTCGAGGTATTTGCGAGCATGTTCTGCGTAAAAATATCTTTTCCATAATCTTGAATTCCGCTGTTAACCGCACTTGGCTATTGTTTAGTTAATTGATTGCAAGACGAAATAACGTAAGTGGCGCGTAGAATTTTTCTTTTAAATAGAAGATATTTTTGTAATAGCCATATAAATTTACAATATGTTTGTTAATTTAGATTTTTCTTTTGAATCCACTGATATACCCATAAAAATTGTGATAATTAAAATAACAATAGGTATTATCAATTAGTGATTATAAGCGGTATCAAAGGATTTTATAATTAATAAATTAATATTCGAAGTCATAATTTTTAGGTTATGAAGTCCGACGGTACTCATGGTAATCGATACGCGTTCAAC